GCCACGGGCAAGCGAGTGACAAGTGATCCATTGGAAAGGAACAAGACGAGGAACACCTCCCGGACGTGGTGGGTGGCCCTTGAAACATTGAAAGAAATGGAGGACTGCTGGAAGAAGTTGGACAGTGGAGTAGCTCGCAAGCGACGTAATTGGGCCACCCAGCAAAAGGCCGAGGTTAATAGAATAGAAATGGCAAGTCATCTGAAGAGGTCCTGGCAGAGTTTGTTGAAGGATCATTTTGAAGAAGCAATGAGGACACCCTCATCAGCACCGCCATTAATGGCGAATCCCTTCGTTAGAACTGCAGGACAATTAATGTTCACCTGGAGTCTGGTGGGAATAGAGTTGGAGACATTGACCTCGTATGACAGGCTGAAGTTGGGAAGCAAGAAGCTAGATGTGTATCAAGCATTGATGCAACACGTGGCCAGGGACAATTCAGGCTTGAGCCTGGCTAGGAGGAAGGATGCCACATGTTTCTTGAGATGGATAATGTCAATGATGTCTGATAGTACCATCTTGGCATGCCGCCAGAGAGCAAGCGGAAGTAAAACCATGGAAAAAAGAGTCTCAACGATCATCTTGAACGTGTATCAGAGTACAGGGATAGAAAAGGAAGATGGTTCCAGACTATCCCTAGAGAACCACAGAAAGCTAGACGAGGTACGGAGGTTTTATAATAAGAAGTTCGAAGAAGAGCATGATGTTCACCGTAACCTGGCCTCGTCAGAGCAGTACTCGAGAATCAGCGAGAAGGGGGGATACCAATATGTGTCTGGAGTGATGGGAATGGCCTTCAACCCCTTCTTAGACTCGGAAGCTGGAGGCGCCCACAGGAACCATGAGGTAGCGGAGCTACTGAAGTTTTGGACAGAAAGAATAATGGAAATAGACGCGGTGGAAAAAGAGGGGCCGAGCCTGGGCCTGATTCTTGAGAAAACACCAGAGGTGGTGAGCATACCACGTTCAGACAAGAGAGTTGAAGTGAACATGGGCGATGGAAATGGCTTGTTAACCACGAACTTGGGAGTGGTATGGAAACTATTAAGACCCTCCTGGTGTCCACATCCCCACGCGAGTCTGATCGAGGAAACCGCCGAGCGAGTGAGGTTAGCACCAACGGAAGATGAAGATCTGGCAAAGTTGAGTGTGCTGCATAAGCTAATTTCACCTCAGATGCAAGAGCCAGGCGAAAAGACTAGTAATCCCGGGTCAGCAAAGAAATTGGAGCCGGGTAGCTGTCTGGATTCGACGTGTGGAAACGGAGAGCACACCTGCGATGGACGGTCATGCGTTAGAATACTGTCATTTCAAAAAGAAGACCTGGTCACTTGGTTCGAAGACAACAGAAAGGGAGAAAAGTGAAGTGCAAATAGTAGCGGAGTGTTACGCGAGAACCACGGTGAATATAGCGACAGCTCTCGGATTCTTCTCGAGAATGTGTAGTCTGCAGTCACTGGAAAGACTAGAATCTGAACATCATTTAGTGACGGCGTTGAGCGTAGAATCATGGCCCGGGGTGTTGCAGGTGACTCAAAAACACATCCGGAGCTGGAAGGTTGGTCTCGAGGCGGAAATGGGATTTCCCATGAGCGAAGCTTATGGCTTGCCATTGAACGCGAAATCGCTGATAGGGTCAATGATGGCCAACTTGTGCGGAAGTCACTACCCACTGCACATGGTGATGGTGGAAGCATCCAGCCAGAGAGTACTGGTGGACAAGGCCTTCTCAGTGCCCAAGTGCGTGAGGTTGGCTCGGATATCGCATCACTCGCACAAGTTATTGAGAAAAATCAGGGGGACAGTACCAAAAGAATTGAGAGATGACTTGAGTGAAATCTGGGGAGAAGAACTTTTGAAGTTGGAGAGAGAGAACACAAGCGATCACGAGAGACAAAACGTGATCGGAAAACCTGTGGGAAGTGCTCCAAACCTGGAAGATAACGACACGATGCATGAGAAAATGATGGAGCTTGAGCCTCTCTTGGAAGCCTCGGGGGAGCGTAACCTCAGGAGCATTGAAATCACCCATGGAGAATGCCCATGCCACTGTTTAGCGCAAACGGTGTGGTATCCAGATCACAAGAACCTTTGCCTGGTGTGGGATATGGAAGAAATCCGGTCGATCGGACTACCGGATCACCGACAGAAGGTGACGATCTTGGTAGTGAGTACGATCTTGGCTCTGAGATGGATAGAAGAGAATATAACGAAGTATCGGGAAGCGGGGACGCCAACGGCAGAGTCAATACACGCGATAGACTACAGTAGGAGACTCGAGTTGTTTGAGACTGCGTGCAAGGTATTCGCCATACCAACGGAAGTCAGACATGTCTGGAGCCGTTTGAGGTACTTCCCATGGTTTCGAGCGACGCTGACGTCCTGGTTGTACATGACAACGAAAGATCACATGAGAAAACATCAAAAGGAGTATCGACAGTTCCAGGCCGAGATTGGGCCGGAAGCTTTCAAGAGACCCCTGTTAACCCATCGTAATGCAATCACGACAGGATGGAAGAGAGTGGGTAAGATGTCTAGAGACAATACCAAGGCGAGGGAATCGATACTAGAGGAGGACCTGGCGAAGAACGTGAGCTTGAGCCTGCACAACTCCTTTTGTTTGAACCGAGAATCTAGGGTGAAGGCACTACCCAACCAAGCAAAGAGGTTGCAAGAGCAAAGAGAATGGATGCGATCCTACGAGCAGCTGAAGGCTTGGGAGGAGATTGTGATTAGCTCCGATGATGAAGAGGAACTGTTGAGACAGTTTGCCGTATCTAGTACTTCAGGGTGCAGTACCTCCAAGGCGAAGAGTGCGAGATGAGCAGGTGGCTCGAATGGATCTTGAGTCTTGAGAGGGAAAGGGGGGCTTGAGCGTGGATCCGGGTGAAACTTGGATTCACGAAAAAGAAGTTTTAACAAAGCAAATATTGTTATTAATATACTATATTTATTATGTAAATCAAAATGCTGCATGACAATTTCCTGATTGAATAGGACAAAAGAAATTTTAAATGATTGGCTTGGAAAGCAAGAATTCAAGGGTGCAGGTGTGTGCAGATTTTGATTGCTGTTTAGCGATAGTGTGAAAATTTTACATGGCTGTGAATTTTGGGGTGTAGATAAGCTTAAGTCTGCTGCAAACTTCTGTAAATGACCACTGGCACTGTATCTTGAGTAACACTCGGTTTTCTGGGACTCACTGGCAGAAGACAGCACGCGATGAGGACATCGATCTCGAGTCCGGGGAGTATGTGCCAGTCGGTCATATTCGGAAGTTTGACCTTGAGAGAAGCAAAAAACACTTGATTTTGGAGTGAAATTTAATTTTTCAAAATTTCGAATGGAACCTGTCATGCACGATTTTCTCGCGATAACTGAAAATCAGAAAAAGAGAAGTCAGAACATTCGAGTAACAAACGCGGGAAAGTTGCTAAATAAAACGGTGGGAAATTGCTATTCGCAATTTCTGTCGTAATAGAACAAGAGTAGAGCTGTCCCATCTAAAACAGAGACGAGAGCATTCCCACGAACTGGATTGTTGTGATTGGAGTACTATTATTAACTGGACCAGAGTGAACCTTCGGTGGAAAGGTGGACAGCTAGAGTGTCCCAATGGTTCACGAGAACTTACAGTCTAGAGAAAAAACTTGTTCTTATTATTAAAACTGATAAACATTAAAACTCATTTTAGTTACTTTATTAATTCTTGAGTTGCTTACCGACTTATTTACTTCCTGGTTCTTGAGCGTGCTACAATGTGAGTACTTAATTTAAATTCCTACAGTGTGTTTTATAATTGTTATGTTGAGGTAAGGCGAGTTTTAGGTTGATCCATCTGAAATGGATCAAAGTTCCACTGTCTAATAAAAAGTAACTTAACGGATTGTTCCAACCCGGTTTTTAACGGCGTTCATGTATTTTGGGTATCTAGAGACCTAAGTATGGGGACGTTTCTAATTCTAGAGTGGGGGGATATTTTAGTAGTAGCCTTTAAGCTGTAACGGGTCGTAGTCTCATGTCACAAGCGAACCGAATTGGCTCCGACTGATTTGAGGTACAAAAACACAAGAGATAGTGTCCCTGACTCTTGAGCCAATGGTTATAGGGCCTATTTTTCTTAAGCCTCATGTGTGACTGCAGTAGACGAATGTTACATTCTGTGGATTTGGTCGCAAAGGTCAAGGGATCCACAAAGGGGCTTGTAGAATGCCAACACCGCCAAGTTTACATGGCAAGCTCAGAAGCTCCCACCTGGGGTCATTCATCTCGATATTGATTATTCTCTCCAAAGTTTGTCTGATTTCTGTGTCGAATTTGGTTAACTCATATAATTTTCTGTCCACTGGCGCTGTGCGAAACATGTAGAGCAGGAAAAAGGCGACGTGCGCGGGAAGTTTTTCCAATCGATGGCACGTTCTTTTCAGATCGCCCAGGTTTGCCTCGACCGCACTGATCTCAGATTTCTGTCCAATTGGTGCACCCAACAATGTCGTCTTCAGGATGACCCAATAAAAATTCGAGTGCGAAATTGAATTTTGACCATTCTGGTCGAATGTCACATGGAATTATTTCGTCATTAAATTCATGTATGGAAATAAGTGCACTTACAGAATCATCTCCAAATATTCTCACTGCAATAACCGGAAAAAACTTGATTAAACTTCATTTATATATGAGAAAACTAACTTGATGGGTAACAACAATAACGGGTCTTACGACCCCTGAGGACCAAGCCTCAGAAGCCTCAATTACTACTACTACTTATAAGTTTTTTAAAAAAAAAACTAAATTACAAAAGGGGCCCTTTTGTAAATTAGTAAACCTTTTTCTGTAATTTAATAAACTACTAAACCTGTTCAAGGAATCTGAAATATACTGATTTGGAGAACATGCTATTGTCAACCTGCTTAGGCAATTGTCTCTTGTTATTCAAGATTTAACTAAACCAAAAATATTTATGCATCATTGATTGAATTTGGTCAACATGTTTCAGGTAACGCCAATGTCGAAAGGGGCAAGCACTGCGGCGAACCATCAAAAGATTTTACTACATCTATTGAATACGATAGACGAAAATAAATACTGCTGCGATTGTGACGCAAAGGGACCTAGATGGGCGTCATGGAACCTAGGATTGTTCGTTTGCATCAGATGTTCCGGTATTCATCGGAGTTTAGGTGAGCAGGTTTGAAATTAGAAAACCACTAGATAAAGAGTCGAAATAATGAATTTTTTTAAACCTTTTTAAAGGGAAGATTTTTAAGCTACTCTATTTGTTTAGGTGTTCACATATCAAAAGTAAAAAGTGTAAATCTGGACAGCTGGACCGCGGAACAAATCGAATCTGTTTTAAGAATGGGTAACAAAAAAGCGCGGGAAATCTATGAGGCCCAGCTGCCCCCTGGTCATCGAAGACCCCAAGAAGATTACGCTCTTGAACAATTTATCAGAAATAAATATGACAAGAAAATGTACGCCGATAGCCAGCGTTTGAGAGAAACCAATTTTGAAAAGGTAAGGGTCAAAACACCTCGACAATTTGAGTTCAAATACAAGCCTTGTATTCTAGTAAATCTTTTTTTTTCATAGATCGACATTGAAAAGTATTTGGCAAGAATAAATGGATCGCGACCGAAATCCGCTACCAAGGGATCAGGTCAGATAGCTGCACCGCCATCTAACAATAAATCCGTTTCTTCTCAGGAAGCGGCAAAAGCAGAAACTAAATCGGGTACTTATTCTACTCCATCAAAACCGAAACAGAATGTCGATGAACTTCTGAATTTTGGATCGTCCCCGCCGATCTCAGGTTCACAACAAGCGAGTAGTAGTTCACAAATCTCTCAGGAGACAGTTGTTAAAGCAAACTCAACGCAACCTCAATTTCCAGCAGCAGAAAACAAGTCCGAAGTTGCCAGTGCTGGGAACCCAGACTTAGCCGGCCTGATTTTTGAGTCGAATCCAGCGCCTTCAGAAGCTGGTGGAATATCGGGAGCAGAATTGTTTGGAGGCAATGGTGGTGACTTATTTGGAAACTCGTCATTTGGGAGCTCATCTTCTGCGACCGATAAGTAATTTTTATGTGCTTTGTCATTATCAAAATTTATTTCATGCAACAGGTGATTATATGGGTTCTCGCGCTCGTTTTTTTGTTTTCGCTTGCAATATTGAGCGAAAACATGCTGGTAAAACATGTTGCACATTGACCCTTACAATTAGGCTTGATGTTTCAGTGAGCGTGAACCAAGTATGATAAATTTCTTCTGTGTAAACTACCGTTAGAACATTTTTTAGGCTTTTTAATGTAGTGATAGTACGAGCAGTATGGCAAGCTCCAGTAGTTGTAAAGACATTGGACTCTAGCTCTGCAAGTCGCGATTTGAATTCTGGGGCGACAAATTCTTTTTCTGAGCCGGAAGCTCTTGCTATTCTATAGCTCTTGTCAATTTTTACTTTTGTTTGCGAAGTGTAGCTTCGCCTCTGTGTTAGGACACACGATAGCGCCTGGGATTATCATGAAACGGTGTTTGTTTTTAAGGATCTATTTTGTCGCGTCGACCTTAAAATGAAATCCTCATCCTCTCTTGACAGCAGGCATCTCTCAGACCATGAACCTTTCAACACAAATTTGAGCCTGATTCTGTTTGAAGATCGCACCATCCAGAGAGAAAGTCATCAGGATTTCTTCGACTTTAGCAAGTTTTCTCTTCGAACCTGTGATTGAAAAGATTTGAACCTTTTCATAAATGAGCACCACTGCAGCTATTTTGCTTCAGCAATCTTGATCATCTTCTTTAAAACTGGTTCCGATGAAATCTGTTTTTTTTTTAAATCTGTTTTTTTTTGGAACCCTCATGTCAAAATATTTTAAAAGCATCAAAAAAGCAGCAACTACACCACCAAAAGTGTTTTGAGGAGAAACAACGCCGATAACGACGCCCACAAATCTAACCTCTTCAACTGATAGTTTCAAAGTGCCTTTAATGACTCGAATCATCAGTATTCTTTCATGAAATCGAGTCTCCAAGTAGAACCGATTCATTGAAATCCTAAGCTACTAAAATCTTCTTAAATCACGAGGCCCGGACGGAATTGGAAACTTGAATCTAAAATAGCTAGCTGAAAGCACGACTAAATCTCTTTGTTTTCTTCTCACTGCCCTTGCCAGCAGGGCCACATTCACGACAATTGGAAATTAAGCGCTGTCATTCCCATCTTCAAAGATGATAAAAAGAATATAATATCAAACTACCAACCACTCAGTCTTTTCTGCAATCTTTTTAAAGTACTTGAAAATCATTACAAAATTACCCAGCTAAATTGAGCAAATGATGCTGCAAAAATAAAATCGAGCATGAATTGTCGAAATGCATGTCTAGGTGTTCCAATTTGATTCTATCAGGTGATGCCTAAACTGGGTTTCCATATTGTGAAATTGGCTGAACAAAGGTTGTATAGGCCAAAAGAAGCTATTTTTTTTTTCTGTCAAAATTTTTCTCAATCCGTAAAAAAGCCCACATTGCTGGCTTATTTTATTTTTCAAAGAAGTTATGTGGTTTTCGAACGTGAAATTTTTATCTAAAGTAATTCCGAGATGTTCAAATAGTTTTGGTTTTTTCTGTGTTAAGTGTTAATTTAGTGCTTTCTAACCAAACATTAGTTTTGTTCAAAACTTCTTGGTGATCTCCTTTTATACTTCCTAATGAAGAGGTTGTTGTTTTGACTGCATCATCCGCATAGAGTAACATGTTACTAATTTGTTGAGGGGTCTTGATTTTCTCTATATCATTCAGCTATAAGATGAATACAAGTGGGCCCAATAGTGATCCCCGTAGGATACCAAACTTTATTCCTTCAACTTTTTTTGTTCCCAGATGCCACATTGTTTTCTGTTTGCTAAATACGATTTTAATAAATTAAAAATAGGTCCCCTATGTCCATATGAATCCCATTTATCCAGCAGAATACTATGATCGACGTTGTCAAAATCTTTTTTCAGGTCTATGAATTTGCATTGGGTTATGATGTTTTGATCATTCCAGTGAAATATAACTTCCTCAATCAGCTTTACCATAGTGCCCCGTTTTGATCTAAATCCAAATTGATTTTGATTGAACATTTACTTTTGTCAAAAAATCATTGAACCTAATGAAAATAAGCTTCTCAAAAAATTTGCCGAAGTTACGTAATAAAAAAGTTAGTCCAAAATTAAAATGATCTTTTCTGTTACCGTCTTCGTCTATGGGAATTTTTTCAACAATTTTTAGGATTTCCGTAAAAATCTGGCAAGAAAAACGTTTTCGAAAAAGCGCTGTCAACAGCTCCAAAAGTACAGGCTGAAGTTTTCACAGAACAAAGTAGCTGATGTCGTATGGGTGAAGGCTGTATTTCGATTCCAAGTTTTCAATTATTTTTTTTGTGATTATTGGTTTCAAATAAGGTTTGATTGAGTGCAAAGCATTCTTTCGCCTGGCCAGAAATTTTTTTTCAGCGATAGTTTTTCCTATATGAAAAAATACTCATTGATTTCGTTTATATTTAAGTCTTTGGTTGTGTTATCTTTTTTCTTTTCTCTCAAACTTGATACTTTCTCTGTTATATTTACTTACTCTACTACCTCTTTTTTTTCTTGCAGTCAATTAAAGATTGATAGCCCAGTATTTGAAATTAGTTGGTTAATTGATTTTCCTTCAACCATGTTTCTGTTATCTATATCGCCGTTGGCGTTGGATTTAGTTGAGCGACCAAAACTTCAAGTTTGTGAAGGTTTTTCGAAAGCGATCTTTTGTTTTGTAGGATTTGTAGAGTTGAACATTTCAAGCATATTTGATTGACCTTGTAAATCAGAGCAAAACGTGAATTTTCTCATTTGTTTTTTTTTCTCTCTTTTTTGGGCAGTCTAAATCAGTTTTTCTTTAAAATTGATTTATGAATTTCCTCAGTACTTACTTATTGCTTGCGTAATCACAAAACAATCAGAGCTGCTTGAGTAATCACACGCAGCACTTACTTATTGCTTGCGTAATCACAAAACAGTCAGAGCTGCTTGAGTAATCACAAGCAGGGCCGACAGAAGACCTTCCGGTACGTTCACCGAGCATTGATTTGAAATAGGCGTAGCTCACTGTCAGTTTAGCAACAAACGAAAAAAAGTACTGAGGAAATTCATAAATCAACTTAAGAAAAACTGATTTAGACTGCCCAAAAAAAGATAAAAAAACAAATGAGAAAATTCCCGTTTTGCTCTGATTTACAAGGTCAATCAAATATGCTTGAAATGTTCAACTCGTGAAAGAAACGTTTAACGAGAGTTTTGCTCAGCTCGTCATAATTAAACTCAAAATTTTAAAGTTTCAGTTCCTCAGCTCCATTGGCATCGTTATGTCTGTTTACTGGCGGAGACACTTTTTTGAGCAGTTGCATCCTCTTTCGCAACTTATTTTCATATGACATCGGAAACCGATTTGAATCGCAAACCATCTCGAATATCATCCTCGGAATCCAACGAGAAAAGACAGATAATTCAGAAAGAGTTGCTTAATATTTAAGATCAAACACTTTCAATCTATTTGAATGCTTTTTTAAATGGCCGTTGGAGTTTAAGTTCAATTTCGAACCATTTTTTAAGCCAAAATCAGTGATGGACAAACAAACTACTGTTTTTCAGACATTCAACTTCGAAAAAAAAATGATCAAAAGCATATGATGATATAATTTTTTTCGTGAAATTTCCGAATGAAGTTTTAAAATTCCTCTGATCATTACAACTTTATACACCATCTGTTGTCTATGTTTTTGCCGTTTTCGTTTCATTATTGTCAAAAGGGTTAATAAAATAACATTTTGTATGATAGATCCGGCGGAAAGAAAACAACTCAAGACATCATGTCGCTTTATGGAGCATCGAATACAGCTTCATCATTCAGCCCAGCGCCGACCAGTGGAGCTGTAAATGTGAACAACCAGTTCGCAGCCCCTGCATATCAGTGGAATCAGCCCATAAACAGCCAGTCAATGAACGCATTCAATCATTCGCCTCTTCAGCAAAACCAGGCACAGTCGGTGGCTGCAAATATGTCACCATTCCAGCTACAGTCGATTCACAATCCAAATGGTGCTGCGTATAGTGTGAGTTGTTCGCATTGCATTGGCTTTCAGGTGGTGATAACCGAAAGCATGGACTTTGAATCGCGGGTCTTTGTTTTTCTATATCGACCAGAAAGCTATTGACTTTATTTCAAACGTGTCTTTTGTTTTTAAGATTACTCACCAGATTTTAAAAAAATACCTATTGAGCCAGGTTTCTTTAATTGGTTTGTTGTTTCCATAAAAACTGCCAATCAGAAAAAATTCTTGATTTTTTTGAGTTTTTAAGGACTTTTTTCCTTAAACGTTTTTTAGTCATTTTTTGCGGCGCCCTTGAGTTCATTGACAATTTTCCAACTGTTTGTTTCTGTTTGAACTGGGATACTATTAAAGATGCCTAATTTTCTTCTTTATTTAGACGCAAAATACCACGGCTTCATCAGGCATGTACATGCAGAACAGTCTCAACACGCAGTTCGGAAGCCTGAACTTCAACTCTGTGCCCAATATGACTACACAGACCCAACATAGCTCAATGGTGGGCATGAACAACATGAGTGGAAACAGTTTTGCACCTACGAGTACTGCAAACCCATTTGCGACCTCAAACCCCGCCCAGCCCAATGGTTCACAACAATTCTCTCAGATCAACTGGGCTCAACCGTTGACCTCCAATTACAGTTACAATAACTCAAATACGATCGGAATGGGTAACACTTTGCACCAATCATTCAGTACTCCTCAGTTCAATTCGACAGCCTCGCAATTGAACATGACGCCGCCTCAAGGAAGCATTCCTCAACTTCAGCAGCAAAATTACCAGTTCGCGAATTCAGCGTTTGCCTCAAGAGGGTCTCAACAGCAGCCAAATGGATGGAGTGGTAATAATAATGATCAGTCAGCACCATTTGCGTACAACCAAACCCAAAACCAACAGCAGTCGCTTTGGTTGAAATGAAATGGTCGGAACTGAAGGTTCTAATTTTTTTAGCAGACTGTTTTTTTTTTAGCTGAATCAAAACAATTAAAAAGTCAGAAATCTAACTACAAGCGGGGGCATTTGTTAATAGCGAATGCTTGCTCCGCGTCGCCTAAATTTGGCTGAAATTCATTTTCTGACAAGTTTGTCATCGATTATGTGCAAAAATAGTTTACCGAATAGGGATGTCTGACGATTGGCCGGTCCCGTCATCATGAAAATATGCCCCATATCGCTCGCGTGAAACAATTTCTGCCGGTATTTAAGGTAATTCTTTCTGAAAATGATTGTTTTGTTGACAAACCGTGAGATAATTGTCTTAAATAGAGAAGCTCAACCCCAGGCTTAACGTCTTTCCATGTTGTTGCTAAAAGGTTGGTCTGCTAAAAAACTGGACTATGGACTGAATTTGAAGAATTATAGTTAATGCGCTCATGTAGAATCTACCTGAAATTCCTTCACTAAAATGAGTTAGAACGCTTAATGAGATTTAATTAAACTTGAATTATTCGATTCACATTTTTGTAACCAGAATTGAGTTTAAAAAATTGTTCTGTGCTGGGGTTCAAATGTCATCAATTTTGGATTTGACAGATAACAAGAAATCGTCGTCTTCATTTTTTTGCTCGAGATTCATATCATGCGTCCATGTTAATTGAAGCTCCAATTTTGATATGTACTTGCAAATAATTACGTCATATTTGTATGACATTGCTATAATATCATGCATAAAATGCTCTTAACTGTGTATATTTATCATCATCAGTATAAGCCAGTGCTAGAATGTGTATATTAAAAATACGAATCTTGCCGATTTTCAAAGGTTCTGATATGGACCATTACCCTATCATTTTTAGCATTTCAAATTGGTTGATGTCAGCAAGGTTCAAATGTATGTTGTTTGGATATGATTCTCGATTTAAGATCAGCTGTAGGTGGTGCGCTTCGGTGTAACGAGTTCCTTTATTTAATACTAATCTCCGTTTTTAACTTAAAGAGAATTTACCCATTAAACCGTCGCTACTACTATTCGCGAAATGTGAACGGCAATGAATAATATTTGCTCTGATGAATTCAAGATTGCTAATTACGAGATGAGTATTTAATTTAAGATTTTCAGTTTCTTGTTTTCTTCCGATTCATCAAACTCTGGACGATAGGCTTTGACAACTTTTCTTCTTCGGAGAATTGAGATAGGATTTTTTTCAGTACTTTTTTTTAATTAAAAAAAGTTCCAAAATTGATTTTATGGGTAGTTGAAACGTATTTAATGTCATGTGTTTTCGAAATGGGTGTACTTTTTTCCGCGTTTGATACGTAAAAGTTTAAAAAGAAAACGATTTTTTAAGCGACTTTACCGCAGATTGTCTTACATGTTCTCAACTGCGCATTTGTTTATCTTCGTTTAGCGTATGTTTTATACAGTGCTGATTTAAATTATCCGGACAAAACGAACAAGACTTGAATTTTCAAACGCGTTTTTCTCAAATTGGGTTAAGATTAGACAAAAAGTGAAGAGAACAAAAGTTGCTTAGAATTTCATCAGAAATAATATGGTGCCATTTTTTCTCCGAAATTCTCAACAAAAATTTTACCCCAAAATGGGTCATTTTCGCTTTTTTCAATTAATCAAGAATTACGCTGAAACTTTTGTTAATTGATAAGAAATTTATATCACAGGAAGGCTCTTACGCAGCTCAACAAAGTTTAAGAAGGGTTAAACCTCCAAAAATTTGCGCAAATTGTTTAAAATTTATTTTTAATTAGAGATTCTGGGTTTTATATAGTAAAAATCATATTTATTGATTATCAAGTGAAATTTTTTTCTCTTTTACTGGTTTTTGGAGATTTAACCCTTCTTAAACTTTGTTGAGCTGCGTAAGAGGGTTCCTGTTTTATAATTTTTCTATCAATTAATGAAGTAGTTTCAGTGTAATTCTTGATTAATTGAAAAAAGCCAAAATGACCCATTTTTGGGGTTAAATTTTTGTTGAGAATTTCGGAGAAAAAAAGGCACCATATTAATTCTGGTGTAATTCTTAGCAATTTTTGTTCCGTTCAATTTTTGTCTTATCTTAACCCAATTTGAGGAAAACGCGTTTGAAAATTCAAATTTTGTTCGTTTTGTCCGGATAATTTGAATCAGCACAGTTGTAACGTTGATAAATTTACACAAGGTAGATAGTGTCCCATTACAGTCTAGTTTTTAAAAAACCCAATTCGTAAAAGTGCTGATTTGGTGCCACTTTGCAGCAATAGTAGTATATCTGGTTTTAATATCTGCAGTATTATCTGGTTCGAATCCGACCGGGACCTGTTTTTTTTTGCAAACAAGAAAAATTTCTGCTTTTTTGGACTAGCATTAGGCTGTTTAATTTGTCGGCTTAGTTCCTGTAGACCAAATGTCTTTGAAGTCTCGGCTTTGTTGTCAGCTTCTGAATATCGAATGCCCCATTGTTGGAGTTAAATGAGTTACAAGATTTTTTGAGCAATTTATGTTGGAATTTTTATAAAAAATTTAAATGAAAATTTTTCGAACTAACGATTTTTCGGAGTTTTCTTTAATTTATTTGAAATTTTTTATAAATGTTGAACTCTGTCGATAAATATGCGCTGAAACGAGAGAGTTTTTAACACTGTTGATTCTGTGCACAGAATTATTACGCATGAGGTTAAAAGGCTCGCGATTAGCAAGCGTTATCAATTCGGAGCATACTTTTTCTTTCAAACAATTTGTCCAGCAAAATCACCGATTCATGTTGTCAAATCAGCACTTTGTTAACCAACAGACATGTTTTGTCCATGTCTGCATATCTGATTCCCATGCTATTCAATATTTTTAATATTGATTTTGATTTACCAACTCCGGTTCGGAATACTGTCAGTTTTTTGTTTTTCTTTTGTTTGCTGAACTGAAAATTTTTCAGCTTATACGGCATCAGCCTAATGGCCTCATACTGCGATGTTCGATGCGCAAAACAAGTTTAAAATGCGTTGAGTGGTTACAGTGGCTCATTTATTTTTTTAAGTTTTGCTTTGAATTTTTTTTAGCCCAACGGGTGTCTGCTCAAAACTTGTCGGCTCTGTTACCGCTCCCATGTTCCTTTTCCGTTTTTTTAATTATCATTTTGCTATCTGGTGCAAATGGCAAAAAAATCCTGCTGGACAAAATCAGGTATTATGAAAATGTGTGATTGGGTGTTTTATTTTAACTTTTTTGAAACGCTTTCGATTTTTTTTTTCACATTTCAACGAAACTTCTAGTTCAATGGAAAATGACTGTACTGAAAGACAAAAAATGTGTCAATGAAAGTAGCGCTTACTCTCTGTGTGCCTACATAGCCCCTTGTCTCTTTGTACTTTACCCTGCTGTCTATAGTCGTAGTCTGTGAGGGGAATTTTTTACCCATATTGTTGGTTTTTTCGTTTTCTCAAAAACTACCGCTCCCATGTTTTTTGTTTCGATGAAAATTTAATTATCATTTTTCTGATTTAAGACAAACTGAGTCAGAGATGTGAAAGTTATGGTACTTCGATATTTCAAAACTTTTTTCGACTAGGCGGCTCTCATCGCGTTTTATGTCTCTTTATTTGTCATGCGCTGTTTGTGCTGTATCGCGGGCGATGCGAATCTTTAATGGTGTCTTTGTTTGAGTTACTGCAATTTGTATGATCGTTAGAGACAAATTGAGTTGTTTCGTTGTAAGGGCAAATTTTTTTAGTTATATAGAGAAAGTAAGTCAAAAATTTCGACGTTTTCTTAGCTCATTTTTTCCGAATCAATGGCCGCCTACCCAAGTATGGCCGGTTTACTGGCTGCTCGTTCAGCGGTTGTAAAAGCTCACATGATGCAGATGGTTATGTTTCTCGACTGTTTTTTCGATTTTTTTTTACTTGCGATTTTGTTTTAAATATGTATATTTTTGACTTCCCCTGATTCTCTGTTGACTAGGTTGCAATGCTACACTTAAGTTGTATCGCAAGTGATTCGAAGCTCCGCTTCGTCTTAATTTCATTGTGAAGGACATATTTTACAGGTTTATTATCGAAGTAAGGTCTACTCGTTTAGGTAGCGTGTTCTTAGAAAATTTACATGTGTTCAACGCAAAATCATATACCATGACGAGTAATCGAAAAAGATTGTGTGATATTTGTTTAAGCGCCTGAAGTCGTTGTTCGAACAATGTTTGGCGTGAAAGGCCTTTATTGAGCCGTGAAATCGGCTTACGAGTGGTTTCATGGCGTGGAAAATTAAAAAAAAAACGATCGCGAAATGTTTGAAAAATTTTTTTGAGCAAATAGTTTTTTTTGTTTGTTCATTTTTCGAAGAAAACTTCAGAACAATAAGCCTAATTTGCTCAATTTCTAAGTTTCTGCTGGTTTCCCAATAGTGTTTACTCTTGCGATAAATAAGGTTTTGCAACCGGGTACGAGACTTTTTTTTACAGTAAATAACTGAGGTAACAGAATGGTCAATTTAGGAAGGGTACATTTCAAGACTTGCTCAATTATTTGAAAATTCAAATAAAATTACACCATCTAGGTGTTAAGGTGATTAGATGGACCACGTTTATGGCGGTAAATTTTCAAATTTGGGGCGGTAAAAAATATAGATTATTTTGGAATTCGTAGTTTTTGCCTAGTTTCCGTCGCTGCCTTTTCCGTTTTCTTAATTATCATTTTTCTATCTGGTACTAATGGCAAAAAACTTTTGTTGGACAAAATTAAGTATTATGAAAATGTGTGGATTAGGCTTTTTATTTTGACTTTTTTGAGACGCTTTCGATTTTTTTCACTTTTCAACAAAATTTTTTAGTTCAGTGGTAAACGTCTGTACCGAAAGGCAGAAAAACGTTTCAATGAAAGTAGCGCCTACTCTCTGTGTGCCAGCATAATCCCCTTGTCTCTCTCTTCTTAACCCTACTGACTACAGCCGTAGTCTGTGGGGGGATTGTTTGATCCTTATTGATGGATTTTTTTTTTCGTTTTCTCAAAAACTACTCTCGCAAATCAGAGATGGAGCAATTTTTTCACTTTTTTTTCTACAGAAAGTTATGGCCTCTGAAAATTCAATAATTGGTGTTTGTACCGTTTTTTGAAGCTGTTTGAGTTTTCTCGAAAATTAAATTCTCAAATCTTGATTTTTTGCGTTCAATCGAGACAACCTTGTGTGAATCTCTTCTGCGCAAGCAGCTATGCCCAAATGTTTTTTCTCAAAAAAGTATCATTCGCGGAACAGACAAAATTTTGATTGTTTGACTATTTTTTAGGTTCAATCGGGGCACACGTATTTGCTAACATTATTTAAGCGGTCACGACCTTCTCATTGTAGAAAAAAAAGAGACAGATTTCGGAAAGGCAAATTTTTGAACTTTTGAGTTATTTTGAAACTTTTTGATTTCAATAGAAACTATCTTATCAAATTTGAGATGAGGGGTTCAATCGAAAGAACCGGTTGCGAGAAACTTTCCTACAGAAGTGGCGACTCCTTATTTTTTATGATAAGTTTTGTGTATTTGGTAAGATAGCTCTGTTTAAATTTCTTAGTAATTTTTTACTCTTCTCACTTATTTTAGTAGAGAAGCAACTAAAGAAGGTTTCGAGCAAAGTCCATTTTTTGAAACTACCCTTTTCATCCAGCATAAATAAAACAAATTCGAAAAAAATCAAGCAGCTACCTCCAAGTTTTACTGGGTCCCTAGTTTTCTTCTATTGAGTTTACGAACGTTTTGGTTTCTTTAATTTTTTTCGACGTATTGCTTTTTTATTTGTGTTGAATCGCAAATAGGGCGCGAAGTTGACCTTCGCATCTGTATATACTAATGTGTTCGTAACTTCCTTTGCTACTTGCACAGCAACCGGCTATATTTTTTGACTATTTAACTTAAAGTTTCTTTGCAAGTTGTTCACTGTTTTTGTTACCAACTGGGATGCAGGAACCCCTTAAAAAATAAAACTACAATTAGCGCGAAATATAAACTTAATTTTTAGGAGTCGATAAATGTAGTGAAGACTATTTTTTAGGTCGTAGTGATTTTTTTAAGTAAAAGTTTTAAAATTTGCTTCTTTTGCATTTTGACTTTTGATTTCTTTTCAGTTTTTTGTTTTTGTGTAAGGCAAACAATCTTATCGACCAATGAAAGTGTAAGGTCAGGAAAAATATGATCAATTTTAAACGTGGCTTTTGTTTTGCGGTCATCTCAGCGCAAGAAATTTTTTCCTAGTGATCCAGCTTTCCAGCTAGTGATTCAGCTAGTGATCCAAATTGTATTAATTATGTCAAAAAAATTTCAATCCTTATTTGTTTCTGAAAGCATATACTTTTTTCTCAGAAATTCTGAATGAGTTTTTTTTTCTGTTGAATTGCGTTTTTTACTTTTTTCCAACTTTCTGTTCGCTATGATTGTTAGGTGTCAATGAAGTGTAGTAGAAGCACCCATATATGTGACGTTATTCTTATCGTTATTTCAGGAAAAAACTCCAATATGTTCATGCTCAGATTTGATTTTTCGCGTTTTGGATTTAGCTTCTTTTCTAATTCTTTTCATTTCCTTTGTGGAAAGCAAACGCAATCGAGCAGCAAACGTGTAAAGGCCACGAAAAACGTGATTGACTTATAATTTCGAAATTGGTTTTTACTAGATTTCTCAGCGAAATAAAAACTTAATTGACCTATTGATCCTCCTTTCTCAAATTGAGTTAATTGTATTAAAAATTGGTCTTCTTGTTATTAGAAAGTTTCAGCAACCCTTACATGTTATCGGAATATATTCGTTTGGGTTACTTATTGTAAATAATCGAGGTGAGTTCCACCCATTTAGATTGTGTTGTCTCACACTCATTTTTTGAATTTGACGTAAGATTTTTAGCATGTGCTCATCAAATAAAAAGAAAAGAAGATGAGTTGGTTCGTTTGCAACTAGCTCAGAAAGATCCGACCACAGTTATCAAAAAGTTGTCTGTTTAAAAATCAAAAAGAAAATTGAATAAATTGCGAAATTATTCTCAGAATTTTTTTCTTCAACTTAGTCTTTTCTAAGTCGTGTAACGATAGAACTGGACGCAGGCGTAGAAATCTAATGAATTAGGCATAAGCGATTCAAATTGTCTCTAAAAATAAATAATCAAAAGTTTATACATTATTCGCAACAAAAATTTATACATTATTGCCAGAGAAGCGCTAAACGAAGCATGCAAAACTAGTTTTCCTTTTAGAAAGGCCAATTTTTTGCCGAAGCTACAAATTTTCATAAATAACGAACGTTACTCAATGGCTTTATTCGCTCGAAAATAGACGATAAGGCAAAAAATTCAAACTAGTTTTTCTCAACACTGGAAATTTTTTAATGTGTTTGGAATCACTGCGTTCGAAAGGGCTTTAATATGATTTATCACTCAACCCAATCCGATGATAACTTGTGTTACCTGATTTTGCGCGATAAACAAAATGTTAAAAAGATTTTGAAAAAATTAAAACACCCAAAAACAAAGTTCCTCCCCATTTTCAATGGTCGGAACAAAACTGTTCTGAAAATTTTTCTTTGCTTTAACAGCGGATTTTTCATGAAAAAACAGCGCAATTAGCGTTTAAAATATTGCTGGGTTTTTAGTATGTCAAATCATAAAAGTTTCGGTTTTCTCAGAAATGGCATTTTTTATCACAGGTGAAAAGGTGTTTTTTTATGTTACTTTTAAAAAAATGTTACGCTGATTGGGTTAAACCTCCTCGTGCATGCGATTTGCAGTCGCGGTCATAATGTTATGCTGAAGTATGGTGATTGGGAACAGAAGTCTCGTTGGGATGTCACCGATTTATGTCCGTAGGGTAATGTTATAAAATGCTTCACTTGCCATGTTCAGACTTAAAACGCTCAAAAAGGAAGCTGAAGAAGCAAGGTAGATATCAGTTATGCCTATGGATCCAAACAACAAGTACAACGCGTTGCTGTACAAATATCGTTTGGTGTTTGGATTTTTTTGGCTAATTGTATTAAGCCTTACGGTTGGATTACTAAGAGGTTCCTGTTTCATACTTTTAGTTTAATTTCATTTCATAAGCTTTGTTTCTTTTCTCGGTCAGGCAGTTTCTTTTCTTTTGCTGATTCTCGACACTGGCAAATATTTTTATGATAACCTCATGAAATCACGAAAAATGTTTTTTTTTATGGAAAACTTTCTGACGCTCTTTGGTGGCACCTGTTTTTGCTTGAAAAACATAATTACCGATTGCATCTTTCTCCCTTGACTCTGGTAGTCTGAATTGCAAGAAGAGTCATGTGGCGTGTAATTAGAAAGCACTTATTTATTGCAGTAATCATCCCGGAAAATTTCAAAATATTTTCGTTTTCTTGGATTTTTGTAAATTTTATTAGGAAGCGAGTCGATAATGAACTCAGGCTCTAATAGTTAAATTATTCTATTACAAATAAAACGTCAAAAAAATTGAAATAGCTTTTTGGGACGGACCCTTTTCACGACAATTTTTCTCAATATCGAGAGATTTTTTAAATCATCTTTCCGAAATATAAAATCATGTTCAAAACTGTTCAAGTACCTGAAATGACGTGAAAAAACTCTTCCTAGGATAAAGAGTTCTCCCACTCCTATGTGGTGACAAGTACAGCAACAGTTTCATCCGAGTAAATAGCCAATTTCCTAAGCAGGCTCGCTCTGTCAGAGTTTATGGTTGCAAATGGCTCTGCAGCAGGTAATTTTTTCCACGCGTCTTCGAAGGCACTTACGTACTTTTTTGTCTCAATTTCTATTTGGTGAATGTCTTCTGAATTCAGAATATGAATGCAATATTGAACCAGCTGGTGAAGAAACAAAATGCTTCACTAATGTCAGAGCAGCTATTCTACCTGGGCAGTCATGCCTTGAGAAATAACCGGGAAACTTCGCTGCAAACTATATCCTGTGCTAGTCATAAATACATGACCGTAACGGGATTGATTCAGCATAGCGGGGCTGGCGGCTTGTTCACTTTTTCGCCTCCATTATTGAGGTCGCTTTCGAAGTTGTCAATTATGGTAGACAAGCATATGAAGAGTATTAAAGCGCAAAAGGTATGTAATAATACAGTCAGTCTAGACTAATATTTCCTGAAGTGTGCTAACTAGCCATAAAAATGGATATTTTGTTGCAGAGAAAAATAGCTCACAATTAGATGCAATAATATTCGCGAAAGGTTTGATGTGGCTGCGGCGTTTGAAGTACACTAATTTGAAGGGGAAATTTTTCAAATTGTGCCATTCAAAATGTAACAACTGGACCAAAAAGACGAGTTTAATTAACTATGATTCTATTGCGTTGGGATTTGATTTTTCCCCTTTATGAGTGAAAGAAAACATGACGACTAGGAGATCGGTTCCAATTTAAACTCTTTATGTTCTGAAAATATTGTGAAAGTGGGACCAAGTTAACATCCTCCCTCTCCCCCCCCCCCCCCCCCAAGCCGTTAAGGGGAGATGTTAACTTGATCCTGAAATGGAGTGTATTTTTTTGTGACGGTTGGAAAAATTTGGTCTTAAAATAGCGAAGTTTGGTCCTTATTTTCTTTTTGAAATGTATAAATTATGATGTGAAACATGTAATTAATTGAAAATTTCCGTTTTTTTTAAATTTTATTACGTTCAATATAGTTCTATTGTTAACAGGAACGCAAACTCTGCTATCGAACAGATAAAAGGTTAAGGTCACAAAAAACATGATCAGCTTCTAGGTTCGAAAGTGGAATTTAGTTTTCAGATTTCCCAGCGAAATAACTTGTTGATCCAGTTATTCAAAGAGCTTTAATGACATATATATTTTTTCTGAAATTCAAAAACTTATTGAATCTTCGACAACTGTCTGTTGGCTATGTATGAACGTTCTAAGACGTCTATGTCTGTATTATGAAAAACAAGAATAAGATAATAATTACACGAAATATGTATGAACACCGCCAATTTACGTGTTTTGAGCCAATGTCGTTTTCTTTTTATTTACAACTTTCTGTTTTATGGGGTTAGTTTTATGGGGGGGGGGGGGGGTTGTTGTTGTTGTTGTTAATATTTTTTGTTTTATGGGAGGGGTTGTTAATATCGTAAATTTTTCAATTTTTTAGGATCCCTGCAATTTTTTGGCCTAAAGTTTCGGCTTCATGTAGACCAACCTCTTTGTTATGTGCTAGGTGGGCAATTTTTGAAGTAACTTTTTTGTGCGAACAGCAATCAATATCAAATCGGGTACTAGTTAATATCCAGTTCCCATTTTTTCACTTGTTGTTCCGACTTCCGAAGATGCTTGGGGTGGTTATTTTATTCATTTTTTTTTACTTTTTACCTGAGCAGTTTCGACGAAATTTTTTAAATACCATCGAAAGAGTTTGATATCGAGTTCAAAAGTAAAAAAAAATCAAATACGATCATTTTCTGTAAAGTTATTGGGTTTGAAAGTGTCCAGTTTTGGATAAATAACGCGCGATGTAGTGCGTTTTCATAACACGCATAAGCAGCGAGTCAAATTTTCCTAAATTACTTTAGGCGAGTCGTTTGTTCGTTTTTTATGACTTGAGACGTTAAAGGCATTCCTTGGGACTTTACATGATCTGCGGGGAACAAAATGAAGGAAAACTGTTTAAAAAAATGATTTTCTCCTTTTCATCAATTTTTCATCCAAACCCTTTTTAATTGGCCTTAAAGAGCAGTTGGATCATTCGGAAATGTTATACGAGCAAACCTATTAAACATCTATTTTTGTTTCCCGAACGCATTGATTTTTATCCAGTGCTAAAATAGCTTATTAATTTTCAAAAGTATTTTGCTTTTTGTTGGCTGCTTTGTTGTTTTTCCCAACGAATTTTTTGACATTTTTTAAACGTTTTTTCATGTTGTCATATTAGTTTTAATCTGCGTAAAGATAATTCATAATTTTTTGAGTTCCCAAATTGTGGCATTAGAAATTACTGCTTGTGCAGAAAAACTTTCAATTGTAAGTTTTTTAGTTGAGAGGTTTATGCTCGTTTTAAGGTGTTTGTGATGAGCAAACGTTATTTGACTTCGTTTATATCGTCCCAACGTCTGTAATCACCAACCTGGGGAAACTGATTGCTATTCGTTTTTAGGAATTGCAACATAATTTTTTTTAAAGAACGACTGTAAATTTTTCTTGAAAAGAATCGAATAATTTTTAAACAACTAATTGAGATCGGATTTAGTGGCAGTTTTTCGGCAGACTGTTGAAAATGAAGAGGACTTAGTTTTCCGGTGTGTTTTAGTTTTTTATTCGATCTTTGAAGATGGGAGGAATTTGTCTTCTGATTTTACCACAAATAAGCCTCGAGAAGGGTCGAGAAATGTACCACGTGAAAGCTTTTTTTCGGTTGGTATTCGAACGACAAAAAAAAGTTCAAAAATTTTCTCAATGTTGAGAAAATCGGTTGGAATATTTTGAGTTTTAGTCTAATTTGGAGGGATTGAAGCAAGCCAAAGTCTTGACAACAAAAATTTTTCATTTAAATTGTGAAAAATTTAGTTTACTTGATTTAGCGCTTCCTTGTCAATGAGTTAAAAAATGAAAAAGTTGTTCTAAATTTTTTTTATCATTTTTTTTGTTTATTCAATTTTTGAATAATAATTTGTCGAATATGCTTATTTCATTTATGTTCTACGCGTTCGTACTGTTATCTTATCAAAAGAAGCACAAAAACAGCAATAATTTGGAAAAAAAAAACTTAAGAAAGCGGAGCGTTGTGCTACTTCACAGCAACCAGCTATACTTGTTAAGTTTCTAAATTCGTCTGTTTTTAGTCTCCCAAGTTAGATTTTGCAAGTATCGCATAAGGTTCAAGAGTGTGGTTTGTTCTTTTTTTTTTTACTTTTTTGCCATAATATTCAATTTAGTTATTTTGTCATAACTAAAAAAGTTTCTATGGGCTGTTATTTGTTTTCTTCCCTTCTTTCGTGATTTTGTGCAATTCTAGGAATCGGTTGATTTCAACAAGGTCTGTTCTTTTGCTAATCAAATTTGTGCTGGCTGATAAAATCAAATTAGCCTGGACAGATCACATCCGTTAACTAACCTTCATTTGAGGCTTATTTCAAAAAGGTTATACTTATTTCAAAAAGGTTTTTGTAGAAACTTCACTGGATGCTATCGGACGGCTATTTTGGGTAATTGATTTTTGCCGTGGAAAGTATCCGTGACCCAAATTATTTCCACCCACTGTTGCAGACTCAATGTTTGATACTAGCTTGTCTTTACTCTTGCTTTTCCACTAAGTTTGCTACTGCTCATGTAATTCTATCTGTTAGTGTGTGTGATAGCTTTTGATGCCATCACTTTGTCCTCTCAAAATCTGGAAGAAAAGTGGGCGAGACCTAGTTTTGAAAGACGAATTGATGACTCTAAATGACCAAAGTGGTGCTAAATTCTGCCTGTCACCAACTTTTGAAGAAATGGTCACGTTTTTAGTCGCAAACAGTAATGTTTTATCATCTCAATTACCGATTGCTCTGTACCAAATTGGACCTAAGTTTCGAGACGAACCTCGACCCAAACATGGCCTGCTGCGTTGTCGCGAGTTCACAATGAAAGACATGTACAGCTTTCACGGAGACAAAAATAATTGTTTGAATTTCTACAACGAAACGCGAGAGTGTTACAAGTCGTTCTTTGACGCGATTGGTCTGAAGGTTGGCCAAGCAGTAGTGGAAGTGGAGGCTCCCTCGGGGGCTATGGGCGGGAGTGTGTCTCATGAGTTCCATGTATTGGCCGATATTGGCGAAGACACACTGAATAAATGTTCCGTGAGTATTTATGCAATAGATCAGCTGATAAGCTTATCATTTTTTTTAGTAAGTGTTAACTGAATTTTGCGAGGTTTCCCAGTGAAATAAACTTTGCCTATTGATCCAGTTTTCTCAAATTGAGTAAGTTTTATCGAAGAAGTGTCAATCATAAATTTTTCTTGACATTCAGATAGCTTTAAGGCCATATATAATTTTTTAAAGATTTTTGAAAATCGAAGTTTTTGCGAAAAACATGTCAGTTTTTTTTCTGTTTCCTTGCGCTCATTGACTTCTTTTTTCTGTTTTGTGCTGCAGTGGTTTGACTAATGAATCGTGCTTGTCAAATTGATTTTTCCAGTGCAGTTCAAAACATTTTCTAGAAGAATGAAACTAGAAAAGCGTCAAAAATTGTTTACGTTCAGCTTGAAAATTGGGCAAGCGTTTCACTATCTCACCAGCAAAATAACCTTATGATCCAGCTCTTTGAAACGATTTATTTTGTATTCAAAAAATATCTTAACAAAAAAGAATAATTTTTTCAAAAAGTTTTTTTAATTTTTAAATATTTTTGAAAGTTTTGCCAAAGAAACGCTAAGCGAAGTTTCCAAAATTAGTTATCCTTTTAGAAAACGCAAGTTTTCGTTAGCTCATTTTGCAAGTTTTCATATTTAACGATGGTTACTTGATTGCTCTACTCGCTCGAAATTGGAAAATAAACCAAAAATTTTAATTGGTTTTTCTCGACACTGGGTAAATTTTTTTTTGAAATTTTCTAATGTCGTTCGCATCACGACTGAAAGGACTTTAAAATTATCTATAATTCAACCCAATCCGATGATTTTTTTCTGGTAGCTGATTTTGCATGTTAAAAAAACAAAAAACTATAACACACCCGAATACAAAGTTCCCCACTGTTAGTATCTCAAGTGATAATAAAAGATTCAGTTTTCTCAGAAATGGCGATGTTTTATCAAGGTGAAAAGGTGTTTTGTTTTGTAAGTTTTTTAAATAGGTGTTGTGCTGGTTCGGGTAAATTTCATTGTGCATTCGGTTTGCAGTGCCGTCGGCATGTTCGTAGTGTAGTGATATGAAATGCCGCACTTACCAAGTTCAGACTTAAACCGCTCTACTAGAAAGCTGATAAGGCAAGGTAGGTTGTAATTACCTCCTATAGCTCATAGCAAATCATTTTTCTACAAAAAATAGTTTATTATTCAGAACTTTTTGGCTAGTTGTATTGAGCCTTACGATTGGATTACTAATATATTCCTGTTACATAATTTTAGTTTACTTACTTTTCATAAGCTTTGTTTTTTGTCTCAGTGAGGTGGTTTCTTCGTTTATTGATGTTACTCTCGACACTGTCAAATATATTTATGATATTCTCATGAAATAACGACGAATGATTTTTATGGAAAACTCTTCTGACGCTTTTTTGTGGCACCTGTTTTTGCTTGAAAAACGTAACGACCGATTGTAACTTTCTTCTCCAATCTTGGTGGTTTAAATTGCATGAGCAGTCTTTTGGAGTGTAATTAGTACGCATTTGGCATTCCATTGGTTCTCAATGAATAAAAAAATCATTAAAACTTTTGAAAATATATATATATTTTCTCAGTTATTTTGCTCAATATTTTAAATGTTTTTTTAAAACCTTTTTTGCCAAGCAAGCGCAAACATAAAAGGACTTGTTTTATTTGCTGTAAAATCATTTTTTCCTATCTTAAAGTCTTTAAAAACAGTAATTTTTTGTATTACGAGCGTTACTCAGTCGCGTTACTCGCTCGTAGTTAAGACTAAATCTGGAAAATTTCGCATAGGTTTTTCTGTTTTAAAAGTCCTCAAGATTGAAAGGGCTTTAATATGATACATCACGCGACCCATTCCGATGATTGTTTGTGGTAGTTGGTTTTGCGCGGAAAAAATTAAAACAAGCCCCAATACGAAGTTCCTCCCCATTTTCAGTGGTCGGAACAAAAAGACTTGAAAACATCAAGTTTTATTTGACCTGCAGTTACTTGTTCCCAAAAAATCCTTAATAGTCAAGTCAGCGCGGTGTCTTGAACGTAAGAAAGAGATTTCGATCTAATAGGGAATTGGAAGATGATTTGGATGTTTAAAAAACCCTATCTTTTGTCTCGTATTTGTTTAACCGTTGGATTAGTAGTCAATTTGAATAGATTCGGATCTAGGTATCATATGGTGTATTTTGAAAAGAATTTTGTCTGTAATCAGCTCGATTATATATGTCACATTCAGCAATGAATTTGAGATCATTAAAAAGCTGATCACTGATTTCAGATGGCCTTCTTTTTGTATACTGATCTTAATCATATGATATTATTGTTTTTTTTTGCAGAAATGTGACTCTTTCTACCATCCCGAAGTACACCGTAAATGTCCAAACTGCACATCCTCCGACAGCACACAACACAGTGCCATTGAAGTTGGTCACACGTTTATTCTGGGACAGAAGTACTCACAAGTTTTCAACTGCATCGTGAAAGACCCAAAAAAGAACAAAAATATCATCACACCTGAAATGGGCTGCTACGGTTTAGGATTAAGCAGAATACTTGCAGCTTATATTGAACAATTTTTTGACAAAATGGAAACGAGAGACGAAATAAACTTTCTGTGGAACAAAGAATTGAGTCCGTACAACCTGTCTCTTGTTTTGCCAAAGACGGGTAACAAAGAACAGCTCAAAGCCGAAGAAATGTTATCTTTTTTGACAAATTTTGGTGAAAGTGAATTGAACGAGTTAATCATAGACGATAGAGAGGAAATCTTCATTGGCAAAAAACTAACTGATGCCAAGTTCATGGGATCTCCATTTATCATTGTGCTAGGGAGACTTTTGAGTGACGCTCAACCTGCTTTCGAACTTATCAATAGAGCCACTGGAACAACTCAAATTATTGATGAATCTGATTTTCTGTCTACTTTAAAGAACCTAATCTAAATTAAAGCCAATCTTTATAAACTCAATCATACTTTTCCTTTACAGTTGAGAAGCCGGAATTTTAATGGAAGATGGTACTATTGACTACTTGTGATCTTCAAGCTATTTAAAACTTTTTTCTAATAAAACTTCGAAAACTTGAGTTTGATTGAGTTTTGAGGGTTTATGTCAGCGAAGTATGTCCTGAACTATCGTTTCTCAAAAACATTATCACCTGTGTTTTGAATAGTTAAGTTTGAGTGAACACAATGAAGGAACTTTGTTTGGAATGAGCTTTCTGAAATTTTGAAATCACGTAAAAAAACTTTTCAGCTGATTGGCTGTCGGCTTATATACCAATATTTTGTTTCCTAAAAATTTCCGATATTATTTAAGAAATCGATAAGACTTTGACCCCAATTTTTTGAATCCCCTAAATGAACCCTGCTAAAAAAATTTTAACTTGAAAGTAATTTTTAACATAAAACTTGAATTTTTTAAGATAATTCTTTAACGGTACCAACGTTTGAAGTCCTCTTTGATAGTTTTTGAGCATCTTACTGTTTTCATATTATACTTGTATCGCAAGTGGTAAGAAGCTCAGCTTCGCCACTCTTTACTCCTGTGATAAACAAGGGTGTTGCAATTGGGTACTTGGTTTTTCTTCCCATAAATAAATTTGTGCACACGACTTATCTCCTGGCTTAGCTCATAATGAAGTCAAGTTTCTTAGTTTCTACTGTGCAAATAGCTTGCAGGTGTCGGATACAAATGGGACGGTAAATGTCTCGGGTTCACATTTGTTTAGAACCTGTTTTTTTAAGGGAGAAATATTCTGATTTGAGAACTTAGTCAAGCTCATTTTTGTCTGCATATGTTTCGTCGGCTTAGTTGCCGCATCGTAGAATTGATTTTTTGTACGTTTTTTTTGTAGCTGCTTTCAGTGTTTTGAATTACTCCTGCTCTGTTTAATTTTTATTCTTAGAATAGAATTTTTTGTTCAAAGTTTTACTTGACAAAAAAATACTTTTTCGGTTCTAAGGGAAAATATTAAAGTTTCTTTGGCTCAGTTGCCGCTTGCTAGTGCTTTTCCACACATAGTTCCTTCAAATGTCTAAATAGTTCCTTCAGTTGTCTTAGAAGGTTTTCCCTTACTTCTTCGAAAATTTTCAATACATATTCCAATAATCGGATGGCTATGTAGGATCCGCATTTTCACTTTAGGATTGTTTCGCTTTTGCTCCAATCAGAAAGGATTTTAACAGTTCCCGGCAAATTTTATCATGTCCAAAGTTAGCCCTGTGGCTCCTCAGTTTTTATTGTTTTTCTTTTTCTCAGTGCAAGTGCCACCTCCTGGATAGTAAATTTCTTCAATGAGTCAACCACTGGGGGATATTTAAGTTTTTAAAAGAGCTACGAGTGGTATTGATTTTTAGCGTTTGAAAATTTGAAAAAAACGTGATTTTTTTTGGTTTTTTTTCAGCTGATTGGCTGTCGGCTTTAATTATGACGTCTAATTTACCTATTATTATGTTTCCTTTAAGTTTCCGATATTATTTTTGGAACTGATAAGACTTTGGCTCCAAATTTTCGAATACCTAAAATCAACCCCACTTGGAGCTCTTATGGAAAATAAATTCTTTTCAAACATAAAAAAGCTTCTGATAGCCAATGTTTTTGTTTATTAGATCTTTCTTCAGCGGTAGCAACGTTCGAAGTCTTCTTTGATAGTTCTTGAGCGTCTTACTGTTTTAATTTTATACTTATTGTATCAGAAGTGGTGCGAGCCTCAGCTTTGCCACTGTTTACCCTTGCCATAAACAAGGGTTTGGCAATAGGGATCTAGACTTCTTTTCAGTAAATAGCCATATGCACAGGACTAATGCACAGGCCATAAACAAGGTTTTGGCAATAGGGATCTAGACTTTTTTTTAGTAAATAACCATATGCACAGGACGAATTTGGCTCATTATGAAGTCAAATTGTTTAGTTTTTTTCACCTTCTAAGCCTGGAGGTAACAAAACAACCGGGACTACAAAGGAACATGACTTGTTTTTTCAAATGCGAAGTTTTCTGCTTCTAATAAATTTGTCGAGCCTATTTTTGTCTGCTTATGATGTGTCGGCTTAGTTGCCACATCTAAGAAACGTTTATTTTTGTACTACACATTTTTTCCTTGTAATTATTTAAGCGTTTTGAAAATCCAGACGAATCGAATTTTTGCTTTTCATATTGCTTGTAAATTTGTCAACTCGATTTGGTTTGATTTTTTGCCTTCTTTCCAGCTTAATTGTTTGCGACGTACTTGATATCGACTTAGGGGCCACATTCGGTGTTTGATGACGGAAAAAAGTTTTTTTTTGTGCGTTTGTATGTGTTCTGAAAGGAAGAGGATTTAAGTTTTGCTTTTGTTTGTTTAATTTTTTTAATGAATTTTTTTGGCATAAAGGTATTTTGCTCAGGTAAGTTCGGCATTGTTACCGCTTGGTAAGTTTTGCTCTGATGCTAATTTACACAGTACACAATTTTTTGGAATTTGATTCTGCCGAAATATTTTCGGTTGATTTTTTTTACCTAAATTTATATTCCTACAAATTCCGATATTATTTTGAGGTCCAATAGAATTAGAACCCAAATTTTCTATTGCTCCAAATCAACTATACTCGGAGCTTTTTAAAAAAAACTTGATTTTTTTTCAATTCTTTAATCAATGGTAACAATGTTCGAAGTCCTCTTTGATAGTTATGAGTATGTTTCTTGCTGTTTTAATACTATACTTGTTGCATCACTCGAACAATATTAACCAGGAGGTTGGGTTGAGTGGCAATTGCTTATGCTTCAAGATTTTTGAATTCCCTCGAGGAAAAGTATTCAGTCAACGAACTAGAATTACTCGGTGTAGTGTGGGCAATTGAACACTACAAATATTATCTGTACGGGAAACATTTCACCGTCATCACAGACCACCAAGCTTTAATCAGCGCTTTAAACGCAAGCGTAAGATCAAAAACCAGTCAAAGTAGATTAACCAGATGGATTGATCGACTAATCCCATTTCATTTCGATATCAAACACTTAGCCGGTAACAAAATGGGGCTAATTGACTATTTGTCACGAAATCCGGTTGAGTTGGCAATACCCCCAAGCGAGTATGATGAGGAATTTGTTGTTGCATCAATTAAAACATTCATAAATAACTTGGGGTTGATTGACAACGTCATTCTTAATGAGTTAGCCAATCAAAATCTTGCACCGTGTCAGCTGATCAGAAAGCGCGCGGAATATAAAGGGACAACAATTAACACTTCAAAACTTGATTTGAGTCAGCATTCTCTCAAAAATTCCGCAAGCGGTCAACTGAAAAAACTAAAACTACATCAGTTCTGCTCAAATCATTCTGCAAATCGGTCAGCTCTGTCGCAAACAACAAACTCAAGACAAAGTTTACCAGATTGTTTAAAAAATTCAACAAACTTCGTCAAATTCATACACAGACACACAATTATGAATAGAAAACCGGATCTAAAACAATACAAAGGCGGATTCATTCCGGACGAAGTGAAATCCCTCAACCCACGTGTTCGAAAGGAGGAAAAATTAGACAACTGGCAAGGGACATCAGACAGGGAGGAAAGCCTCTCAGATCCTCGGTTGCGCAAACGACCACCAATGAAAAAGAAAGCAGCAGCCAACACTTCGGCATCGACAACTACACAAATAAACATCAAGGACGCCAGAGAATTAATCTCCTCAAGGCCACCACCAGTCAAAAACTTCCCGACAATAACCTTTACTGAAGAAAATCCACAAACAGAAAAACAGTGCGTCCCCAAAATGAAGACTACAGTGGCAATACAGATGGACATTAATAAAGTGTTGGTGGGAACCCAAACAGAACTAAGGGAGGGACATCCGGAGACAAACGAGGTGTTCGTGAGAAGAATAAACTTCGATATCGAAAGCCAAGAGGAATGCGCCCCAAATGAAGAACCGCCGTCGATGTCAGGAACACAATCTGAAGCACCGCAACTGGAAGCTAGCCACCACGAAATAACGGAAGGCATAGTGGCAACCGTCAATCAAACAACAATGACGGAAGCAGAGGAGGAAACACAGCTGTTCCGACAACGACTGCAAAAGGTTCTGGGGGGCAAATTCATCGCCGCAGCTACCAAAAAGGACAGGAATCTCAGACCGCTCATCAATTTTGTGAAAAAGCGGGATTGGGAAGCAATAAAATCCGCCTACGGACAATATTGGTTTAATGTCCGAAACAGGCTACTTGTGCGGGAGGACTGTCTGCTGATTGACGAACGCATCGTTATACCAACACAGCTGCGCCAGACAATACTGGAAAGTCTACACTTGACACACCCAGGGTGGGACGCAATGCTTGATTTATGCCAAAACGTGTGGTTCCCACACATCCACCGATCAATCGTCCAAATTGCAAGGACTGTACAGAACAAGGTAAAAACCTCAAACCAATAATAGGCAAAAATCAATCATTCCAAATGGATTCGGTAGTAGAACCAAATGAGGAAGTACAATTAGACTTTGCCGGGCCCCTCCCAGATGAGTTAAGTAAAGACGCTTACATACTCGTTGCTATAGACAAATGGTCAAAATTCCCGACAGCAGAGGTTGTTTCAAATACTACAGCAGATATCGCCTTAAAATTTATGCAACGGTATATTTCGAATAACGGAGTACCCCGTCGGCTAAGATGCGATCAAGGACAAACATTTGGAGCAAAAAAATTCCAACTTTTTTCTTAACGCCAATAATGTTAAGTTACTTTTTGTGCCGGTCGACAATCATAGAGCCATAGGAGTGGTAGAAAGAGTGATACAAACATTAAAACGTCGTCTAGGAGTTATGAGAATAGATCCAGCAATTACACCATAAAAATAAGCTTCGGACGTTGCTGAAATAATTAAAACTTTACGCATTACACCACATGGTGTAACCAAATTTCACCTTTCGAAGCACGCATGAGCAGAAAACCAAATACTCCTCTTTCAAACTTGGCAACAACTAGTTCACCCGCCAATCTTAACTGGGAAAATGCAAAACATGCATGTTTAGATCGAAAAAACCTCACAAAGCCGCCTCTGCCAGCCGAAATAATGCTTGACTTGCAACATTGGTCAGAGGATAAAGTTTCGATCAATAAACGACAGCAACTACAACCACAACCGATTGGAGCAGACAAGACATCAAATTAAACACCAGGTGCGAAACGCAAACGTAACATAGCAATAAATATAGATAAATTAAACAATAGGTATAAAGGAATACAAACACTCACAGACGAAAACGTTAACAAACGCTTAGAGCAAGTTGCAAGAAAGACAATCCGAGTGGCAACTAAAGTAAAAGATCCCAAAACTTTCCAATAAAAATAAAAAACAATCGACGGAAAGATTTTAACATACACACCACATGCAGTATGGGTACAGGATTTCGGGAAACAACCTAGACTTTTAAGGATTAGTGGGGTTACTTTTGTACCTAATCCTTTAATCTACAGACCGCGTCGACCATCACCATTGAGTGACTACGTAGCCTACAATTCGGCACGAAGATCAGGGCTTTGTCTTCGTTTTTTAGACATCGAGGACCCAACAGCACCTCAGCATAGTATGTTCCGGGAAGATGAAGAAACAGGGCTGACAAGAAAGTTGACAAGAAAGGAGCAAACAACATTAAAGGAGCAGAGTAACATGCAAAACAGCGCAACCAAACGGCGGGGCAAACCAACGGGAAAGAGGACGGGTGGAAGTTCATGCGACAAACCGCGAGGAATGAGTGTTTCTTCGCTAGAGAAAATCACAAAAACCCAAGCCCCGACCACGGAAGCAATCACCCATAGTGACACAGCAAGCAAGAAGTCGTCAAACTCGGAAGCGGCCGAACCATCGCCAAAGAGGATTAACTAAAAGAAAATACCACCAGCAACCACGTCAACGTCAGCGAACATGGCACCATCGAGACGCTCCACTGGCCAACGTCACTCAACCTTGGCTAAAGCTTTTGGGGACCCTATCCCGATCAATATCATCGATGAGTCAGACACACGCAAAAAGCCTGTGAACTTCAACATTGATTCACCATCGGATCAAATATACCCATCGGCGAAACCTAGCCTCAAATCGCCCATTCAAGAAATGGGCTTCGCGGACAAATCACCAGAATACAAAGCGTGTATGAATTTCCTGGAGGCAATCATTCCGAAGAATAAGGCAAAACAAACGGACAAAGTTATCGACCTTATTTTGTCAGATGAAAGCCCAAACAAGATGGACATCTTATATATCGATAACAAGACAAGCAGCAACTTAACAGACAATAGCGCAAACAAGGAGGCCACACAAGAGGAACACGAAAAACTCGAAGACGATAACAACAATCAAGAAGTAGACGAACCAATGAAATAGTGCACAATAGACAAGAGAGAGAAAACGCATATGAGTCCTCAAGCGACTATAGAACTCAAAAGATTGAAACTTAAAGTTTCTAGAAAAGAGGGAGTGTCATCCGGTACGGATAGATAAACTCATAATCGTTGTTATGTATTAATTTGAGTAACATATTTATTTATATTTTTTTTGGTCAATTGACCTTGATACGGCTGCATGCCAACTGAAGTCCATGAGCAAGTCTCAGACGATAATTTATGTTTCTGAACAACAGCTGTTTTATTCAAATTCATACAAAAACTACCATTATCCATCCGTTCGGATTCATTTTATTCACGCTCATACACTGAGGTATGACAAATATGATACATCACTCAACTCATTCTGATGATTAATTATGATGCCAGATTTTTCGTGAAAAAAAAAATATAAACACAAATTGAAACCCACCCGAAGACCAAGTTTCTCACAGCTTTCAGTGATCGCAATATGGCTTTCAGTGGTCGCTCGTGCCGCCAGCGAGGAAAAATTTAAAATAAAACACACCCGAAAACGAAGTTCTTCACCGCTTTCAGTAGTCGCAACAAATATATTAAAAGACACGCGAACATAAAGTTCCTCCAATTTTCAGCAGTTGGAATTACAAAATTAACCCTGGCTGCCTTTTGCTGTCAAGAAGTTCAGATTTCTCGAACCACATTACAAAGAAAGGGCAGAAAACTAAAATTGTGAAATAACTTCAGTTTTCTGCTGCTTTTGTGGTTCTTACTGATTTGGTTCATTTTAATTGATTTTGATTTGGTTTTTTTCACATTTGAAGCTACCCTCTGCAAAAAACATAAGTGATTATATCGCTTTAAAACTGCATCTCATGTTGGCAGCTACCCTCTGCAAAAATAAAATTGATTTTATCGCTTCAAAATACACTTCACAAAACTCAAAAGTAAGTATCAAATGCGGCTGTAGTCAGTATAAATTCCTTTAAATCGTGATTTTTTTGGAACTGGTTCCGTTGAAGAGCTATTTTGTTTCGGCTTATGTTTTATCCGCTTGGTGGCCTAATTTTGCGTCCTTTGAAAAGAAAAATTTTGCGTTGTTTTCACAAGTTTTGATGACTTAGTTATCGCTGTACAAATGTTTCTGAATACTTATTTAACGCCAGCGATTGTTTTTGGACTTCGACGTGTTTTCCTGAAATTTTGCATCGTCACAGACAGGTACGGATTTATTTTAATTGGATTTTCTTGTGGGCGTTGGGGTAGATTTTCACCATGAAGACCTATTTTGATATGATTTTTTGCGCAGCAGACAATTTTTCTAAAAAAGGCCCAAAATTATTTTTTGGCACTTTTTGGAAGATTTCGACGCGCACTCCCCTTGAAAATAAGCATTTATTGGTTCCAAAGGCGCCTTCAGAAAGATTCCGGGTTGTTTGGCCGAAAATGGATTTCGTAAAATAGTTTCAAATGGAGAACCTTTTTAATCAAATTTGTTTTTAAAAGCTCATCTTAAATATTTTCAAGTTTTTAGATTTCCCAGCGCAGTTAAAATTTTTCTATTAGAAACAGTTATCTTGAGTTTCGGCGAAGCCTTACTCTTTTGTGCCTTTTTGTGTAAATCATAAGAGTCATTTTTCAGATATGATGAGCTGAAATAGTTATAACAACCTACTGAAAACTGAATGAGTGATACAAGTGGCCGGCCCAGTGGGGCCAAGGGAGCAGCAGAGGAAGGCGATGCCGCCTCCACCAAAGCCTTGAGGTTGGAAATTTTCTATACTACACGATTGACAGAAAAGTTAAAGCCATGTTTCAGCTGCCATAAGGCACAATGTATGAGAGCGATTATTGAGCTCAACGTTTAAGAAAGTCTTCTGAATGTAGAGTACAATATTATAGAGTTTTTCACTCAAAATGAGTTTAACGATTTAGATTTTTTAGTTTTAATATTCTAGAATTTTTTTTTGAAATAATTTCGAAAATTTTTAAACAACATGAGCTCGATTCAACTTTAAGGCTCGGCAGTACCCGCCCACTTTTTGTCCTAACTTTTGTGTTTATAGTTCATTTCAGCCTGAACCTAATCAACACAACTACGAACATCTACCTCCATGCTTAGAAAACCTAACCTTTAGCAAACCGATTCGCGTTATAAAATATTTCAAAGTTTCATAGCTTGAATAGCTTGCTTAGAAAATTTTTCGCGAACCAATTTAGTATGAAGTAGCGTGAAATTTTCCATAGTTCCATAGCTGGAATAGAATCGCTTGGCTAAAAAATTTAAATTTTTGCGGACAGATTTGCTCTGAGAAACAATTGAAGTATTTCAAATTTTATCGCTTGAATGGCGTCATAGAAAAACCTAAACTTTTCACTATTCGATTCTCTTTATCAAAAAACTTGAAATTATTCAAAGTTTCATAGCTTGATTAGCTTGCTGAAGAAAAACATGGTTTTTTGCAATCCGGTTGGCTTCATGGAACAACTAATTTTTGCGAGCTGATTGATTATTGGAGAAGCGCGTGCTAGTTTGACTTTATTTGACTGCCTGATTTATTTTATTTCGATAATTTCGCACAATATACATATATATATACATATATTTTTTGATTCGCTCATATTTTTTACTTCAAAAATTGACTGATTTGGTCTGATTGCTAAAATTCTCTCCCATTGTCTTCGTAGAGATTTCGTGGCTCAGGACTGGCAAGCTTGCAACACGCATCAGTCCTTTTGTGAGCATTGAACCTTCCGAGTTAATCGAGTTAAAACGTGTTTTATGAACTTTGTAAATCAGACGTTGCTATTACTTTTGAACTTATCATTTTTTGATGGCTGGCTATCTTTTCTTGACTTATTACGCTAGTCGGTTTTTCCTCTTAAGGTAAGAAAGAAGAGAGTCACTCTCAGATCAGGTGAGTTAATATGGCGTCTCGTTAGTCTAAAATCGTAATTTCCCTTAATTTTCTGGCCACTGTAATTAGACCGGAAACGAAAAACGGTAGTCTTATTTCAGTCCTAAGTCAGATTAGAGGCTAAATTTGGCTTCAAGCGTAAGAAAAGAGAATATGAAAACATGTGCAGATCTAGATGCGATAGAAAATGAGTTTAAATGCGTCAGACTTGTGACAAAGCAAATATACGTAAAAAGTTGATTGAATTGTACTGTTTAAATATCAATGAACGTGTAGTGAAGGCACTAATATAGGCCATGATGAGTTTTAATGATTTGGTCCGGAAAAAGTCCTAAAAATTGATCACGCCAAATTTGATCTTCGGCGGTTTGACATTTGCTTATTTTAAAATTCATTTGCTAAAAGGAAAGCAATTTTGCTCTCCTATTAAGAATGCGGAAGGGGTGCAAAAATGGGAAACGTGAATGACTTGTTTCCCAACAGAATAAAAAAAATACCTTTTGATCCAGTTTTCTCATTGGGCTAGTTTTATGAAGAAAGTATGCTGCTTTGGGCGAGTGGGGTAAAGCTTGCGAGCTCTTTTTCACCCCCCCCCCCCCCCCACAATTGAAATTAAAGTTTAAAAACCATTTTTTGTTGTCATGATGCAATGAAATTTTGCATGCTGAACAAACCATGTATTGTGAACAGATTTGTCTTCATACTTTACATCTTATTATCACGCATTTAGCCGTTATGACTAAAAAATTTGCTATGTGCGGGGGGGGGGGGGAACCGGCATGCGTTTATCAACACGAGGGTCGTGCGTTCCGATCCCACTTCGCATGTTTTGAGGGGTCCATGTGCCATCCGCCTTCTCAAGGTGGGACCGGTTAGCATCTGTTCTCTGCTTTTTTTGGCTAGTGTTTGGTAATTAAGCGTCCGTGGCTTCGTGCGTGAGACTCAGAATTGCTAGGTCCCAGCATGTAGTAGGTTCGAATCCGAGATGTAGCAATCTTTATATTAGTTCAAGGCTTTTTTTACTTTTTCTTGTTGCGTTTTATAGAACTGCTTTTTGTCGTGTTCTCGCTTAGTGTTTGCGAAGCGAAGCTTTGCCTCTCTGTTGAATTTTCCTTCGCTTAAGCTTAAAGGGTTAATGGTACGATAGTTTCGGCTTTGTTACCGCTCGGTAAGTTTTTTCCCGATGCTAATTTCACATGGTATTCTTTTGGCAATGTTTTGAAATAAGTTTTATTAATTTTGATAAATAAGTTTTTAAAAACATTTTCGAGCATTTTTTGATTTGTTCTGTGTCGTTACTTGTTCTGTGTGGCAAGGGGTGCTGCTTTTCCTGTGTAGATTTTTGATTTTTCAATTTATAAATTCGAGTATAATATTTGTTCCGACCATTGAAAGTGGAGAGGAAGTTTGTATTCGGGAAGTTTGTTTTTAGTTTTTTTTCTTTTATTTCCACGCAAGATCAGGTACCACAAACAATCATCGGACTGGGTTGAGTGATATATCATATTATGCCCTTACAGTCGTGATTCGAACCACATTAATAAATTTCAAAAAGATATTCCCTGTGTCGAGAAAAACCGGTTTGAAATTTTTGATTTTTTGTCTTATTTCGAGCGAATAAAGCGAGCGGGCAGTCTTATTTTAACTGCTTAAAAGCTTACAATAGCTTAGTTTAAAACGTAAAAACTTAGTCTTACTTGAGTAACGTTAGTGTACTTTGAGTATTTTAGCGCCTTTTGAAATCAAAGTTTTCAAAAAACGGCAAAGCTTAGAAAAATTTGGTTTTATTTTTTCAAGTAACTTTTCTCAAAAATTTTTGTTTCAGTTGCTTATTTTATTATGACTTTATATACCTTAATTACACCTTATTTACCTGAAAATTCCTCATTAGTATAATGCTAACAACTTTCTTAAAGTTGACAAGGGCCTCTTCTCGTTTCACTGGGCTGACTTTTTGACTGAGCTGATTCATTGTTTCACGACTGTTGGTTTTGTGTTGATGGCCGGTAAAATAAAAAATGAATGGGGAGAGAATTGTGTATCGGTAATTATCTAAGCTTGATGTTTTTTCATCAAATTCAGAAAACACGTGTCGCGTGGGTAATATGGATGTTGGCTTTCAAGTTTTATTCAGGTCGACCTAGTTAATTTTCCGGGCGTTTCTAAAACAGTAAGTGGAATCCAAATGGACAAAATTTTCGATGCTGCTAGTCAGTTTTTGAGAAAAGTTACAGAAATGCATTAAGTACCTGTGGTACGAAATTGTAATAGATTATAAGAAAGTAAGATGGCATAGCAGCAAACCAAGTCTCCAGAAATTGTGACTTGCCAGGCTTCGAGGAAACTTTTCTGGGATCGAAAATGAGTTTCGTTTTATGATAGTGGTGGATGACTGAGAAAGCGAAGAAGATGCGGCGTTCTTTCCGATATTATCAGTCTAAACTGATGAATAATTTTGATGTTTATTCACAGTGCTAAGGAGTTGAAGAAACTACGCAGGTTGGAGAAAGTCAAAGAAAAGGAACATGAGAATGCTTTGTCAAGTAAGAAAGACCCTAAAGCAAACGATTCTATCGACAATAAAGGAGAACAACCGGAAAAAGTAGCGGAAAAAGGAGGGCACAAGTTGAGATCAGGCGAAGAGGATTCTTCTGAAAGGACTGATCCGACTGATGTGCCAGTTGCAGTAACCACTGGAGTCAAGCAGTCCCAGATGACTAAGGCCGAAAGACGAGCTATGCAAGAGGCCCAAGTATGTACTGCCTTTGTTAGTGATAACAGTGAGCTAATATCGATTGGTCGTATGCGACGACTTGCAGAATTTGAAAGACGCGACAAATCGACCGAAACATTGAAATTTTGCTTGGTTTATTGTTCCGACTATTTGAAAAATGGGGAGGAGTTTTGTATTAGGGTGTTCCAGTTTTTTTCCATCAGTTCTCCACGCAAAAGAGTCCCAGTATCGAGAAAAACAGGTTTAAAATTTTTTATTTTTAGTCCAATTTCGAACAAATAATGCGAGGAAGCAAGATTACAGTAGCTTATTTTTGCTCGATTTAGGCTGTGAAAACTTACTTTTATTCAAGTAATTTTGTTTCTGGAGTTTTTAAGCGCCATTTGGAAATAAAAACTTCAAAAGTTCATAAAAGTTCTGGAACAAAATTTTAAAAAATGTTAAATTTTTTTTGTTGATATGACTGTCGAATATTCTTAAATTCCAGTTTTCGTGCAGATCCTTTTATCACACTACGCAGAAAAAACGACCCAAAAAAACTTTTTTAATATTTTTTAGACTATGGTCGGAACATTCTGTGCTACTTGTACAGTAACCGGTTATCCTTGTTAATGAGTTTTGGCAAAGCTCTAAAAATCGGAATGACTGATCTAAAAGTTTTGAATTTTTCAAAAACTTTGTCCGTCATAAATTTCTTGCGCATGAAACTGGTATGATTCAGGTCTCTTTACTCTTGTAACTTTGACGCAAATAATGGCGCAATCAAAAAAAGTTCTTTCCAATACACAGCTCAAAAGCAGTTGGCGCTGTGATGAATCTGTTATTTAACAATTAATTTAATTAGCGCATTTTTGTGAATGCTCTGAATTCATATGATTTTCTCCGCTCGCGGACTAAATCCCCCAGGATAAAATCCCCCAGGATAAAATCCCACCGGATATAATCCCACAGGACTAAATCCCCCATAGGACCGAATCCCACTAGGACAAAATCCCCCATATTTTATTTACTATAATGGAAATCAAACTGTACACATTATATAATTTCATGTTTCTATTGATTCCATTTTGAACTGACTTCCATTTATACATGCATCGCCATTTTGACGTGACTTTTTAGCAACTTTAAGATTCCAGCATTCAGTTGACTTCCTATAAGAATGAGCTTCGATTGCAAAAATTAATAAGCCACGTGGCACAGTCAGTACGACAAGTGAATGGAAAACAATGTTGATTCCTTCAGCGTGAGTTCGAATCCCAAATATGACATTTTGTGCAATCAATGTAAAGGTCTGTTAAATTTACCCCTAGGGGTAAAAAATCCCGCGCTTCCACTAAGGTGGGGGTGCGGGATGGTGTGAAAGGAAGTCCCCGATTCCTAGAAAACCATCTTCTTTATTGTGTCAAAATTTCAGACCTCTAGGATCAAGGAATGTTGATTTTGGGGGGGTCCGAAATTTTGAACATGATTTTGAACTTAATTTAACGTTAATTTATGTTGGCTGATAAACAAATTAACACCCGATATAGTCCCAGCAAAACGATTAGTGAAACAGGTGTGATACCAATTTGCGTGGTCGCAATTTAATCCCCCCATTAGCAATTAAACGTTTGCTTCTTGACGCAAAATTTTGTTCAGTTTGTAAAACACGTGCATTTTGTTAACTACCGACTCATTCAAAACAATTACAATGCAAAATAATAAAGTCAAATTTGTGTTAAGCAACAAAGGGGGCCAGAAAGCGCTTCACAATAACTACGCTTACTATAAGAAAAGAGAGTTAGTCAATTCTATTCAGTGGGAGTGCGAGTTGCGGCGATCAAAGAAACAATGTAAGGCAAGCATATGGACTTCAAAGGGCGAATTCCTCAAATCGTCGCCACATGAACACACACACGGCCCAGACTATGCCTTGATGGAAACGTATACCATTAACGAGCAAATCAAAGCGGACGCAGCGGCTTGCACCGACTCTTCGACACAAAAGGTGCTGTCAAATGCCCTGGCGAAAGCCACACCAGAATGCTCATCGAAGATGCCGGTGGTGCCTCACCTCAAACGAAGGATAAGAAGAATTCGACATGAAAACCGTAGCCAGCCACCCATCCCAACAGGCTTCGATTTTGAATTGCCTGTTCAATACATGCAAACCATGAATGGAGAGGATTTTCTTCTGGAAGATTCGACAGTTCCGGGAACAGGTAAACGTTATTTGGTGTTCGCAACCAACAAAAATATCGAAATCTTAAACTCGTATGGAAACTGGTTCATCGATGGAACCTTTAAAAGCTGCCCTGATAACTTCTACCAAGTATACACTGTCCACTGCTTCGTAGATGGAACAACTTTTCCGTGTATCTATGCCCTGCTCCCCGATAAACGACAAGAAACGTACAACGCTTTCTGGTCAAACTTGAAAGCAGATATCGTCCCCCCCAGTTCAATCATGATGGACTTTGAAATGGCTTGCATTAATTCTGTGGGTGACAACTTTCCAGACACAGAAATCAAAGGTTGTTTCTTTCACTTCTCGCAAGCCATTTACAGAAAGATACTCGAATTTGGTTATGCAGTTCAGTATCGCGAGGACAAAGACTTTAACCTAGCTATACGTCTTTTAGCTGCTCTTGCGTTTGCCCCACCCTTACATGTAGAAGCCTGGTATAAGCAAATACTAGTAACTTGCCACATTCCTGACGACATCAAGAATTATTTTGAGGACACCTTTGTTGGCAAAGAAATGCGAAACTCGACGAGACGGAAATCGCGATTCGACATGGATATGTGGAACGTTTACTTCAGGACCATTGACGACCTCCCCAGAACAAACAATGCCCTTGAAGGATTCCACCGTGGATTCGAATCTATGCTCCAAATGTCAAATCCTGACATTTGGAAGTTCATTGAGGCAATTCAGAGGCAGCAATCACTGCAATCGTTCAGTTTTGCTCAAATGCAGCTCGGCAAGAAAGTCCATACAAGGAAAGAAGATAATTTTGGGAGGATAAAGAGAATTGTATGCTCTGCCGCTAACTACAAGGAGTTGGATTATCTTAAAGCCATAGCTGTTAACTTGTCCTTTTAGTTTTTAGTCTTTAATCTATCTACTTCTTTTCTGTTAATTATCTTTCATCTTTTAATTCAAGTTTTAGTGTCGCTGTTTTGTTGAATTCGAATGTGGGGGATTTTAAACTAGAAACTGGGGGATTTTGTCCTAGGGGGATTTGGTCCTACGGGGGATTTAGTCCTGGGGGATTATATCCGGTGGGATTTTATCCTGGGGGATTTTATCCTGGGGGATTTAGTCCTAGACCCGATTTTCTCATTCTTGTAGAGTATGTTTTGTAGAGACAAGCCAAAGCAGCTAAAAACTCCAGCGCGACATCAAATAGTGACGGAAGCACAGCTGCTAATTTGAGTGCGCTCACAAGCTCAAAAACAGTCCAGCTGCCTGAAAAGACCGAAGAAGACAAATTAAAGACTCCTCAAGACAGAACAATTGAGAGTTCTCAAGGTCAAGTTTCATTCTTTCTTCATCTGCCCCAACCTGTGAAACCTTCGACCATAACCAGTGGAATGAAGTTTGATGATCATAACCTGCATCCAGCATTTGTCCGACTTGGAGTCAGATCTGCTCATGTAGAAGCATTCCGGCGAAATGACGACGAGCATTGTGTTACTTTCTTACAAGCTGTTCTCCAATTGATAGATAGTCTGCGTAGCTTAGACCCTGAGAAACCTTTCTCACGTGAGTTTGAGAAACAACTGAAATTAAATACAAGTTTTCTTGCTTCTTGCAGAGCTCTTCCTGTGAGTACTAAAAATGCAGTACGATTCCTGAAATCTCGGATTTCAAATTTAGCGGTTGACGAAGAAAATGAATCGAGTGCATCAAAAGTAGCCAAAGCGGTGGGCGAATATTTGGGCAACAAGGTGCAACTCAGCAGAGATGCTATTCTTGCAGAGGAAAATTGGGCTTCGTTTATCAAAAACGGAGACCATCTTCTAACATTCGCACACTCGTCAACAGCATTGCGGCTCCTGGACACTGCATCTAAGTCAAGGAACTTTTCTGTAACTATTATTGACAGTTCGCCTTCTTTTCCCGGAAGGCGAACCCTGGCCCAATTGGAACATCTGGGTATACAATGTAACTATGGATTGGTTACTTCAATTGGTTACTGGATGCCACGAGTAACTAAAGTGTTAATTGGGGCTCATGCGTTGCTAGGCAACGGGGCTGTGATGGCCAGTGCTGGATCGGGTTTGGTGATGTTGTCTGCGAAGGCATTCAACAAACCTGTGATTGTCTGTTGTGAGACATTCAAGTTTAGCGAGAAGATTCAAACGGACTCAATAGTGTCAAATGAGTTGTTGCAACTGGAACCTCTGGTGAGAAAATACTCATTAAATGATCGAAATTCGCGTGAATGTTGTTTTTCTTGCCCATTGAAATTGAATCGAGCTCGAGTCTTTCCCTCACAAAAAATGTGAAAGAAACTATTCGAGACTCCTAGCTACCATGTGTTTAGCGTAGCATGATACGCATTGTGATTGATTTTTTTTATATCTTCAGGTCGACTTAGGCTGTCAGTGTTTGTGGCTGCTTTCCTGATACAACACTGATTCAAGAAATTTGAAATGAGAGTTCTTTATGATAAGGCTAATCTTGCGTCAAAAGTTTATTGGATTAGCTAATGATTTTTTATTTCAGATTCTCAACCCAGAAATTGATCGGGGTATTCGCAACAGCAGTCATCTGGAGTCTCTCTTCCCCGGATGTGAGCCAGAATCAGTTGCACCCAAAGAGTCTTCTCCGTTTCTGAGTGTCCTGAACTGTGCTCTGGATGTGACGCCTCCCTCTTTAGTCGCTGTGGTTGTAAGTGAGGTGGGTTCCATGCCCAGTCTCTCGGTTCCTGTCATTTACAGATGGAAGTGCAAAGACTTGCAAGACTATTTATGATAGTGAATGCAACTTTGTAAAATGAAGTTAATTAATTTTTGATCGTCCTCGTTTTAAACTTTTTTCTTGACTTAATTAATTTAGCCATGGACTTTAAACATTGAACTGTGCTGTGGTTTCTCATGCCGGGCATCAACCGATAGGTTGGGAACTTTTGAATTGTAAGGTAGAGTGTCATAGAGTTGGTTGGATCATCGGGTAGACGGAAGAGTAGGTAGACAAGTAGAAATAACTCTTCTCTCTCACTCCTAACTCTAAGAGCTGCATTTTTTAGGTTATAATTGTGAATTGAAGTATTGTTTCCTCATAATCTACTTATTTGGTATACAAGAGATATTGGAAAAAAACATAGTTATATTTATTTTATATTTGCATATTTGTTTTCAAAAAATATATGAAAATCTTTGGCGGGAACTTTCGTCTTTTCTTTTTCAGAAGTAGGTTTTTTGTATGAGTATGAAACACGATAAAACGTTCAATAGTTTGATATTGCAGCTTAAATACTATGCGTGAAAGGTGGTTCTTTAGTCATAAAGAGTTGTGATAGTTTCGATCCTTGTCTAACAGAAAAAATTGGGTGCCAATGTACATACAGCGTGGTATAAAGAGTCATAAACGTAGTGAATCCTCTTAGATAGGTCTTGTTGATTTTTGTTTGTTTTGGAACAAAACTCAGTTTGTTCATGCTAAATTTCGTTTTTTTTTTCGCGGTTTCACTAGAAGTTCACTTCATTTCCTTGTTGAAAGGAATGCAAACTCGACTATCGAACAGCAAAAAAGAAAAAGTCACAAAAATTTGATCGATTTCTAGTTTCGAAAGTTGATTTAAACTTTCAGATTTCCCAGCGTTACTAAAAACTTAACCTAGTGATCCAGTCTTCTCAAGTTAAGTTTATTTAATCAAAGAAGTGTCAGTCATCAACTGTTCTTGAAATTCAAAGTGTCATCTATTTGTTTTCCAAATTCGAAAGTTGCGGTTTTTCAAAAAAGAACAGGCCGGTTTTTTTTTTCTGTTTCCTTGCATTCCAGACTTTTTTCCAACTGTCTGTGGCTATTTTTTGATTATCATCGCACTTATTTTTTGTCTAAAAGTACCAAAATTAAATTGAGCTTGAGCTCAGCAAGACGGGTTACTATTCCCCCTTGATATTTTCTGAAATTTGGTATGAAAGTCTAACATGACAAGTATTTCGGTATAACATGACAAGTATTTAAAATGACTTGTCATGTTATAAAATGCGTTCATAAATGTCAGCGTGAACAGGTGAACAAGTTTGTACAACATGCATAACATGCCGTGTGAACAACTTTTGAACAGCTTTGTTTTGTAATTTTACAAGGGATGGGAAACCGGAAAAGAGCCGAGAACAAATAAATCAGCAAATTCTGTTTGGGAGCATCTTTATTTATGCGTAATTTTGTTTTCAATTAGTCGGAATACTCTCTAGGTAAGCTTTCGTGTCTGTTGCTTTTCGCAGATTGAGTGGAGCACTGGCTATCAAAAATTCGATTTCCGCTAGGATAGTTTTCGTTTTATAAAGATCTAAAAACTGAATAATAAATTATCTACAACTTTTTCAAAGTGGCTTCATTTTAAAAGCAAATGTTTAACATAAACAAATATAGATATTCAACTAGCTCCAAATTGATAAATGTTTTCTCCGAAGTTTGAATAATTAAAAGTGCTTGAAAGTAACTATAATTCAGTTGCTCTGATTTTATCTATGAAACTGGTCGGAAATTCTGTTTGTTTTTTGAAGTTTTTGCAGAAGCTAGATAACTCTGTTGTAACCCGAATGACTCAAATAAAACTAAGACCAAGACTTAATTCATCTTGTTAGTATATGTAAATAGATAGCGTATATAAATAGTTGTCATGACAATTCTAATTTATATCAATATAAATATTTCATAAAGAGACAGTTAGTAGAAAGTTTAGCATCATCTTAGCGGCGTCGTGGCAAGTCGTCAACGACCTTGGCCTTCAGAATGAAACAAATGAACAATCTAAATATGGCCTAACAAAAGGCATAGAAACTGCACTATACCCTTTTTCCCCCTCTAGAGAAAATTATTTTGTGGGACAAGAATTTTAAAAAAATAGACACAAAAGTTTAGGAACTCAGCCGAAAAACTATAATGAATTGAGAAAAGTACTAAAAGTTTTGAACGTAGATTGAAATAACGCGAGTTTGGTTATGCCGAGTCGGGATAATGTTTATTTAACATTTCTTTGTTAAGGGTTCTCAGATGAAGACTTTGCTGACGATGACTCAGAGAAGCGAGCGAATTTTCTTGTAAAATCCTCTAAAACATGGGGTGGATTGATCCGAGAAAGGTCCCCAGAAAATTTCTCGGCTGGGCTGTCCTGGACGAAACGGAACCTTTTATCCTGAGAGTCAACATCTGGGCTCAATAATTGGGACTGCACCGGAGTGGAGCTGACGAAATTGAAGGAGACGGATAGGACTGCCGAAGAACGAAGTTGCTTTTTCCTTCGGGAGGGAGTTCGTGATGAATTAGAGGCGGACGAGTAATTTCTGTCCCCATCTGAACCACCTGCGGGTGGGAAGCTCTCGCTTGGGTTTTGTGGAATAGGTTCTGGCAGAATTTAAGGATCTTGCGATTTCGGCAGAGACGATTCGTCATCCGACGATATTGGAATAAGGTTTTGACCTGTTAATAAAAATGCCTTCGATGATGACGGTGTCTGGGGCTTGGCAACAGACGTGTTCAAAAGGTTCCTTGATGTGGAAAAACAGACCGTCAGATCAACCACAGGATTGTCCTTGATTTGGTTTCGACAGGTGCCCGGAGCGTCCATGATACCTTTCATGAGGTGTTTCGACTACTTGCTCCGCCTGAGCAGGGTTGACGCAGATTGAAGAGCTGTGTGTTTTGGACGAATGGGGACCAGAACCATTTTAGCTGCTATGCGGTTTCATGCGGTGATGGGTCAGTGAGGCCCATTGTCTTCTGTTCTGGTGAAGTAGAGGATAAGCTAGACGCTGCTGGGCAATGCCGCCCCTTCTTGGCCGGAGAGACCTGTTTGCCTAAAACCCCGAAAGAGATGATTTAAGACGAACCGCAAGGTGTTTCCTCCGAATGACTTTATCCTTATCAGTGTTATATGTCGTCCCAGTAATTCGGACAATTTTACCCTTAAAGGGCTTGAATAAATCCCGACCGGAATTCCTGATTAGAATTTTGCGGAATATCTCGACTTTTTTCGTTCATTGAAAACTAGATAATCTAAATAACGCTGGGCTCTTGACAATCGGAGTTGCTCCGCTGGCTTCGGAATTGAATAGTGCCTGCTGAGAGATGAGAGCGTAGAGTAGCGGCTAGGACATGATTTCTTTCCGTCAGGGTCTTAATGGTTTGAAGTCCCGCATGATGGTCTTCTTCAGGGCGAGCCACTAGTTTGGCTAAACTTTCCATAGTCTTGTAAGGCGGGGTCTCAGCGGGGGAACTGGTTGGACCACCAAAATAAGGCTACACGGATGGGCTTGACTGCCCCTTTCGGACAACTTTGATCCTGCTCCCGACGCTGCTCTGCTGTAAGTAGATCTCGACCAAACTGTTGTTAATCTAAATTAACTCGTGAAGAAAGACGCTCAACTGCAATAGAGAACTCCTTATTTGGAGCCCTACCAAATTATAACTCAAACGGGGAAAAATCCCGTAACCGAAATTTTAATGACGCGAATATCCTCAATAATTTGATAAAGAGTATCCTGAATGATAGTAAAATCCGGACTTAATTTAGCAGCTACTAGCTGAAGTTTGATAGTCTGAATAGTGCGTTCCACCAAACTTTGCCCAGATTATCCCCCTGCGGGCAAAATTGCTGAGGGATATTTTTCTCCCTAAAAAGGACTCAACGAACTTATTTTTAAATCCCGAATACTGGTCTGCTTTGATAGAATTAGGGATGCTATTGTGATGGATATAAGACTTCAAGAGTTTTAAAATCTTTTTACCACCAGTTGATCGGGTAAGCATAGCTGATGGAGTATCGGTCGGTTGCGACCTAAATGTGCGTTTGGTTACCCGCATGGTCTTGTAAAGGACCGGCATAGTCCAACTGGACTTCCTCGTACGCAACTAGTAAGGATGGTTGAGGCTTGGGTGGATTAATTGAAACGTTAGATTTGCGGATGTTACCAGATATTGTACTCTTCAGGCAGTCCTTACACATCTGGATGATATCTCGATGCATCCGGGGCCACCAAATCTACTGGGCCGCATCCACCATCGTAAGTTGGTCCGCATGGGACCTAAGAAGTCGCGCTAAATCTCCTTTTACCGCACATCCGGAATCAAAATCCGGTTGTCCACCACAAAACAACTGTTCACCACTGACGAGCACTACTAAAATGATTACAGATGTGCATAAATCCGAATAAATTTTTCATAATCATTGTTAATCAGGGCCCGTTTCGTCAAACGAAGGCTAGGATTTTCTTCTGTGAGCTCTGATAACACGTCAGCATGAAGGATCCCCACAAAACCCGACAGTGACTTCCGGTTTCGAGCGGCAATGGAAGACTCTAGAATGCCCAGACTGAGCACTTGTTCCTGCGACTGTGTGCTTGACCGAGACTTGCTCAACCTGCGTGAACGAAAGTTTGCTAGTATACGGGCACACAGACCTCAGCAAATAATTTCCGCCGCCGGCGAACTGCACCCGTCCGTGCCACCTGCCGCAAAAAGTTTACCGTGAGCCACGTTCATTTCAGAGGAACCAACTGATTCAGCAGCCGTTTGAAGCTGTCTTCCCGCGAAGTTGAATGATTCATTAATCTCTGAAAAAGCAAGAGAATAATGAAATCGGTTACCCAAGTTAGAGGGTTATCCGAACAAATCACTGTCTGCAAGAAAAATTGATCCAAAAATATCAGTAGGATGAAAACGACCATCAACACGACAAGAAAATTTTGGAATGGGGGTAGATTTCGGAAACAGGCTGAGAAAGTGGCAACTGTGAATAAATTAAGAACGATGTGATCTGATTGGTCAATAGAATGTGCATAAATTAAGTCGCCCTC